CCTTCTATACCCCAAGACTTTACTTGAGTTTTGATTACAGCTAGCATTGGATATGCAGTAGAATCCTTTATTTGCAAATGGGAAGTTCGACCACAAGGCATATTAGCATTTGGATATGTACGTTAATTAGCATCAAACTTAAATTGTTTCTGAAAGCAGTGCATGGGTACTTAGAAACTTTGGTACATAGACAAGAATCATTCCCCACCCCCATCCCCCATCTTGGTCACAAGCAAATGATTTCTGACAAAGTGTTTCTATAATCCAATAGTTGATACCTTGAAAAGGACACTTTAACAATGCAGCTTGGATTTAAAATTGGTTTTTAAAGAACTGTTATCCTTCAGGGGGATACACAAGTTTTAAACCATTTTAGAGCTAATATTGTTTCATTCTTTAGCACTTTTTGAAAGTCTTTCTCAAATCAAATAGGGCTTGGATGTGGGTTGTAAAGAACTAAATAATTCAGATAGCAAACTTTGTAGATATTTCCCTGTTAAAAATTGTTTGTGGGGCTGGAGAGATGGTTCATAGGTTAAGAGCACTGTCTACTCTTCCAGAGGCCCTGAGTTCAATTCCCAGCAACCACATGGTGGCTCACAACCATCTGTAATGAGATCTGGTGTCCTCTTCTGGTATGCAGGGATACATACAGACAGTACACTGTATGCATAATAAATTAATAAATCTTTTTTTACAAATTCTTGATTGTGGTAGGTTATTCTTGAAGTAGGACATAGAACTGTCATACAGTATTGCTGTCTGTGTTTGCGCTGATTCAAATTGTGCCCTTCCCGATCTGCTGAGCTGCAAGTGTTCTTCACGGCTGTGTCTTGACTAGCACTAGTTGCCCTATAAAAGTATTTCAAGCATAATTGTTGATTCTGTGAGATTATCCCAAAGCAGAATTTTTTAACACTGGTATGATGCCAATAAGGGTATCAGGGAAAATAAATTTGAAGAACAGTATATGTAAAATAGATTTCTGTATTGAAGGACTACTTATTCTATAAAGAGCTGAGGGACATAGAGAACATCATTTTCCACTTTGTTCAGTGATAAAACCCTTTTATTTAATTTTTAATCTTCTGAATTGTATCTCTTAGAATAGCATACAGCTTTGGAGAGTCTGTACTCTGTGGAATACAGACTATACCTATGCTGAAGTATCATTTGTTCAGAAATCTCCAAAAACCTCAGCAGCAATGTCACTTGTTGAGAAGCCAGATGCAGTCCTTCAGTTATCCTCCAGGTATTTAATCAACAGATACTCTATGCAGGTAGACACCACTCAATACACCAAGCCCTTTGTCTGATTGGGAAAGGGGGAAATATTGTAACATACAAAGAACCTAAAGTTGTACATTCTAAAGAGTGGAGTAAAAATACAGAAATATCTTATTTCCTATAAATTTCTCAGCTTCTTATACAAGCCCCAACCTAGTTATTTTGTTTGTTGGTCTGATGGAGGAAAATAAGGATTTGTTTTTCTGATTGCTGTCAAGGTGAACAGTCTGTTCTAGCTATTTCTTTTGCTGTCTTAAGCCTAAGTGACCCCATGTTTAGATAGTTGGTAGATCCAAAAGACAAAGGAATCTGGATATCTGGACCTATGTGCAGTTTCTCTCAAAAAATCATCTGCACCTATGGAAACCTTTAAGTCTTAAATTTATTCAATCAGCAACTGATTTTATACCTCTGTAATATTTATATTCAAGACATTTTCCCCCATGTGAAACTTTGACAGTAGTCTTTATAAGCACACGATCTTCAGCAAACCAGAATATAGAAAATATATAAAGGGGTCTAACAAACAGAACATTTTACAGAGTTTAATGGGTTAGAAGAATGATGGAATAAATAAATGAATTCTCTGGTGAAAGGTCAGCTATGACTTGGTCATGAAAAAAAGGGAATAAAAGTTTTCCATTTTGATTCTTGCATAGTAAATAGTAACTTCCTGCTTAATGTCATGAAGCTTCTACCTCATTTGGTCTCATGCTCCAGAAGTCTATGTAAAGGCACATAGAATACATTGGCTCCTGTGCACACATGAACCACCTAAGGAGCATGCACATGTTAACTGCAGCCACTGTCTTATAGCGGTTCCCGTCTCTTTTACGGGTTCAGGAAATTCTTATGTAAACTTTTAACATCACCCCATCTGTCTCCATCTTTGTGTCACCACTTGTGATCCTAGCATAAAATACAGCCTACTGGGTGCCAAAATCAAATAGACCCAAGTGTGAGTCCTTGTTCCACTACTTATTTGAATAGGAGACTAAGCACACTGGTCAGTTGTACTGCCCCAGGCCCTCATTAGTAAAGTATGAGAATTGAACATTACTGCTTTCCAGGAACTGGTAGGGGTTAATATTTCTCAATACACTGTAAGTATTCCCAGCCCCGGTCTGCAGCCTTGTTCTGACCTTGGTTTATTACATCAGTGTCCAAAGTGACACCTCCCTGCTCTGTCTTTGTAGGAATCTTGTATGTGTGTGGTATGTCATGGATGAGTGCAGGGAGGGAAGTGCATGTATCTTTTTGCAAAGCAAAATAATCCAGTGTATTCCTCTATTGCCCTCTGCCTTACTCTATTGAGATAAGGTCTCTCACTGAACCCTGGCTGGCTGACTAACCAGTTAGCTCTTAGGATCTACCTCTGTCCCCCTCCCTAAATAAAAGGTTACAACTCCTGATCCTCCTGTCTCCAACTCTTCAGTGCTAGGATAACGGGTGTGTGCCACTACACTCATCTAAAAATTACTTTAATCTCATCCTGATATGTTGTATTTATTTCATTAAGATATTTTCTTGTTTCTGATGTGGTATTATTGGTCTGTGAATTGTTGAGAGGTTATTTTATTATTGTTCATTACTTGATTATTTCTACCTTTGTGCATAATTATCAAATATTCTCTGTATGATTTTAATAAGTTTTATTCAGCTATGTCTTACTCTTACAAATATTTTATGTCTGCCTTAAAGAATGCATATTCTATAGTTTTGAGTTATAGTCTCTCTCTGTGTATATATATATACACACACACACACTCTGTAGGTGACATTTCTTGAATATGTTCACATCTTTATATTTTTGTTGTAGAGAGAGCTGTACTAATATTTCACAGCATAAGTGTAACTTCATCTTCTGTTGTTATTTTCACATTAGATTTTTAAAATTTCTTTTAGTTGAAAATAATTGTGTTTGTGATAATGTGTTGATAAGTGTGTATACTGTGAAATGATCAAATCAGGGCCAGTTAGCCTACCTATCATATAAAATACTTGCTGAGAACATTTAAAATCTACTCTTAGATTTTGAACATCTATGTTATGTTTTTACAATAATTGTTACTTGTGCTGTGTAATCTGTGACTAAATTTTGTTATTCTTGTCTAACTGAAACTTTGTATAGTTCTCATACTCCCAGCCTCCAGTAATCACCTTTTATTCTTTGCTTCTGTGAGTTTTAGCATTTTGATGCCACATAGAATTTAGATACTTACAATCATACAAAATATTTGTCCTTTCTCTTTCTGGTTTGTTTTTCCTTGCACATTTTGATACTGTGCTGTGTGTGATTTTTCTTTATCTCAGTAATGTCATTTTTCTGAATTACTTAACCCATCAGCAATAATTCATGGTATAATTGGTCTGTGCAATTTCTTTATCTGCATTCTTAAGATAGGGGAACTCAGACTTGATCATTTTTTCCTTTAAAGTAGGTGTAAAATACATTGAATGTGCACAAGAAGGAAACTTATTTCAAATCTTAGGTTTACTTAATGGTCATGAAAAGCAAATTGAAGAGAAATTATATAGCAGAATAGTGAATGATCTTGACTCTTAAAATATTGACTGCTTTGGAACATAGTGAATTAATTCTTCCATAGCATTGCTTTTGAGATAATGTGTTTTATTTCTTGGTATAAAATACACTGTGCAGTTTGCATCCTTGATAAGAGTAGTCAGAGAGTAAAGATCAAGTAGTTGAGTCATTTCTTATTTTTATTTTTAATTATATTTTGTTTATTTGTGTGTGCACATAGACATGCCATGACGAGCATGTGAAGATGAGAGGACGACTTACAGAAATTGGTTCTCTCTACTCTGTGAGACCAGGGAGCCGTCTCAGGCTGTCATGCTTGAAGAGACAGGCACCTTTACCCACTGAGCCATCTTGCTGGCCGATGTCCTTCCCATTCTTCTTTTGTCTCTGCACTTAACACAGGCATTCATTGAATAATTTTGACCACCAAAAATTTTTTTCAGGAGCCAACTACATTATAATGTTAAGAACAAAGGTTATGAAAAATTTTAAATCTGTATACAGTCATTTTGTGAACTTAACTCTTACTGCCTGCAGGTGTTCTTCTGTAATCTCAGCCATTACTATTAATTCTATTCAGGCATGTTTCGTGTGTGTGTGTGTGTGTGTGTGTGTGTGTGTGTTGTATGTGCTTTCTACTCTTGACATTGGAAACTTTTTGATTTTTGTTATTAAACTTTTTATTTTATTCGTTTGGATGTTTGTCATATAGTGTAATATTCATGTAGGCTAGAAAACTTCAAATCTCCAGGTACTGGAGTTACCAGTTGTGGACTCCCATGTGGTGGTGGTGGGAATCAAACTCAAGCCCACTAGAAGATCTCTTAACCACTGTACTATCTTTCTAGCCTGAAGCTGATACTTTTATTTTAGTGAACAGAGGTGTTGAATATCTCCCAAAGTATAGTTAATAATGGTGATCTCTTTGGAAAACTGTTCAGTGGGCTTGCTGCTGTTAAAATTGTCTTAACAGTTTTAGAACATGTGCTTGGTTCTTACTAGTTCCAAAAAAATTTACTAAGATTGAAAGGCTTTGGTTTAGAAGGATTTCTATTCTTGGGTTCTGAACAGTGTACATAAAGCTGTGCTGTAAAGTTCCATTATGTCAAGAACTCTCTAATAGGCAAAGCTTGGCATTCAGAATAACTCAAGTTCCTTTTTCCTTCAGCTTCCAGCTGATCTTACCAAGATGCACCTCACAGACAACCCTCATCCACAGGTGACTCATGTGTCTTCTAGTCAGTCTGGCTGTAGCATTGCCAGTGACTCTGGGAGCAGCAGTTTATCCGATATCTACCAGGTAATACCTTAGACTGGGTACTGTGCATACAGACTTTTTTTTTTATTCTGCAAGATATCCTCTGCTTATCCTCTAGATCAGTGGTTTTTAACCTGTGGGTTGTGGCCCAGTTGGTGGTTCAGATGACCCTTTTACCAAGTCACCATCAGAAAACACAGATATTTACATTAGAGTTCATAACAGTAGTAAAATTACAGTTATGAAGTAGCAATGAAAAAACTGATGGTTGAGAGTTACCACAACATGAGTAATTTATATTAAAAGGTCGCAGCATTAGGAAGGTTGAGATCCACTGCTCTAGATGATCATGTATTTTTTAATTCAAGTGTGATAATTAAGTAAAAGGTTTTCAGCAAAGTATACTTTATATGCTGTCTCATATTCATCAGCCTGATAATGAAGCAATCCGTCAATCTGTCTTTTGAGAGTATATGAGTGGGATTTCCTTGTCTTGTCTTTTATCCAGTTGAATCCATATAATATAGAATGCATATGATATAGACAGGAAATGGTTGTGTGTTTCTGTGAAACAGAATATTACCCTGTAATCCAGACTGACCTGAACATTTCAGTCTTCCTGCTTCATCCTCCTGAAAGTTGAGATTACAAGCATCATGCCTAGGATTAAAGAAGACTTTTGAAACAACAGCTTACTCTTGTAAAAAGGACTGATTTTTATTATAATCGTAGAAGTAAAATTTTTGAAGAAAAGTAAAGGTTGTTTTTGCATTGTCAAACTTCTATCCTGTGTAACATGAATGAAATAGAAAGTTAAATAAGGAATGTAATTATGGACTTCCCCATTTTTAATCTGAATAGAAAAAAAAATCCAAACTAAATGAGATTTTGTTTTTCAGTGATCCTTGTAATAAAAAGAGGGTTCTGGAAAGGATTACAGACTGAGAATCCTTGAACAGTCCTACTGGGTTGTTTGGGCCAATGCTGATTTGTTAAGTCCTCATGATGGTCTCCTATGCTGTCTTTAGTGTCAGACGTCTAGGGCAGTTTTCTGGGTGAAAGGCCTTACAACCTGAAACCCAGTGATATTAAGTAACTAGAGATTTGGTATTGATAGTTGGTTTAGTCAAGAATTCAGATACATTTTGTGTTTCTGGGCTGTCAAGTAGACATTTAATGTAAACCACATTTTTAAAGTTTTCAGTAGTCATCTAAAAGGAAACATAAAATTAACTTTGATTAATATATTTTATTTAACATAGTATTTTTAAATGTTATTTTGATGTTTAAGCAATATTTTAATATTGTAAATTAGGTGTTTTTTGCACCCTTTTTGCATGCTTAATTTAGATTTAAACAGCCCATCTCAGTTATTGCTGGTCATACTTCAGTTCCCCAATAGCCATATATATTTGCTACCATGTAGTAAAAAAAATTATAATCATTTTTTTCTGAAGAAAATATTTGCATTTAGTTTCCACTGAGTTTCCCAGATTCAGATATTTTAAAGAAATAGCTTCTTTCTATGAAGGGGAATTTGTAGGCAGATGCAAAATTGGAAAAAAAAAAAAAAAAAAAAAGCTTAGGCCAACATACAGCTTTCTTGACAACAGGATACTATGACCATCTCTGACTTACTGTTTGCCTTTTTATAGTATTTATAAAACAGGAATTTACTCTTTCTATTCTGTAAAAATACTATAAGAAATCTAACAAAGAAAATCTAAATAATACAGTAACTCTTCAGCTACTTACTCCTTTAGCAATTGTTAGAGTTAGTGCATTTTACTTCTTGAAAGGAAGTACATTGTAGAACTGTAAGTGAGTTCAAGTCCTGGTCTGCAGAGCTTGTTCCAGGATAGCTAGGGCTGTTACACAGAGAAACCATGTCTCAAAACCCAACCCCACCCCCAAAAAGAAGAACTGTAGGTGTTGCTGCATCTAAAAATCAAGTTAGAGCTATGGTTTTACTGTTTCTGTGTTGTTTCGTAGAGGAATCCTGAGGAAAATTGACTTTGAAACTATCAAATGGAGTGTTGTGACTGCAGGTGTCTCTCAAAATAATCGGGAATTTATGCCTTGCTAGGACAAATAGTAAGCAAGTTGTGGCACTTTCAAACTATAGGTACCTGATCCCGCTGGGGTATTCCACTTCTAAGATAGAAATGATTGCCCTTTTGAGGCAAGAAGCAAAGCCTTGTATAGTGGTAACAGAAAGAATGAAAGGGTAGTGAACATATTTTTATTCAAGTCAGTGCTTTGCTGTGTACTGGAGGTTGCACTGTATGTGCAGCTAGTATTTCTCCAAAAAATGCTGGAAGAGGGTCTAAGTATTGTTCTGATAGTAGCTTCTTCAGGTTTCCCACCTACTAGTGTTAGATGTGAGTCTTATATTGCAAGTTGATGTCACTCTATTTGACTACCCTGCTTACAGTCTTCCATGCATCGTTCTCCATTAATAACAGTCTGCAGTTTGTATGACCTTTTTACTACTTTTTTACAATTAGAGTATCAGTAAATGTCTTACCATTTATCTAGCATGATAAATATGAAGAACATACATACTTCATAATCCAGAAATGCGAACATTAATTTTTTTCTACCTTAGTTACTGAGTTCAGTACCATGCAATCAGTTCTGCTTCCTGTATCATTATTCATGTGTACATGTTTTATGGCCATTAATGCATTGTTTACATATAACAAAATTTACCGTCTTTAATATGGGAAATAGGCATAGGGTCTGAAAGCATTTTAGGCTTGTTTGTAGTTAGTTCCTCTCCTTATCCTTATCCCAGCGAAAACCAGTCCATTCTACTCTTATTGTTTTGCATTTCCAAAATTTTGTATTAAATAGAATCTATACAACTAAAAACGGGAGTGTGCTTTATAAATTACCCAGTAAGACAAAGGTTGAGTTTTAGTGAATTTAGAGAGTGAACAAGTGAAAACATAACAGACATTGAAAATTCTGGAAACAAAACAGGACTCAAAAATCTAAAGAAGAAAATTGTGATAATATTAAACCCAGAATGCTATAGTGTAAGAAGAATCTTTTAAGAGTGGCCAGTTAGGTAGAAATTCTCAGCTAACTTCTTTTTTTTTTTTTTAAAGAGTTTGTTTATTTATTATGTATACAACATTCTGCCTCCATGTATGCCCACATGCCAGAAGAGGGCGCCAGATCTCATTACAGATGGTTGTGAGCCACCATGTGGGTGCTGGGAATTGAACTCAGGACCTCTGGAAGAGCAGCCAGTGCTCTTAGCCACTGAGCCATCTCTCCAGCCCCCTCTCAGCTAACTTTTAATGCAATTGTCCAGAAATACAAATATCTTATCTTGACTAAAGCAACTTACAGGAAAGGGCATCGCTCAGAAGTCCAGGAAAGCAGCTAGTCAAATTTTATCTATAGCCAGGAGCAAAGAGCAGTGAATTAATGGATGCATGCTTTCTCAGCTTCCTGTCTCTACTCTTACACAGTCATATCTCCCTGGTGATCTTCTCACCTTAGCAGATTTAAGGTAGTCCTCCATAGATATCTCCACAGGCCAGTCTGATCCAGACAGTCCCTCCTTGAGACTCCTTTCCCAGATAAGTCTAGATTATATCAAGTTGACAACTAAACTCTCTATCACACACCATAAAACAAAGCAAAACAAGACAACAAAGATAAAACTGGAAGAGAATTCTTATATTTTTTGTTTTGAAAAAACTTAAATGATAATTTTAAGATATATGGTAAATGATTATATGTAGACAGAAGTTTCTGTCCCGCCCAGTCCTGTAGCCATTTAGTCCCAAAGAAACACACAGAAGCTTATATTAATTATGAACTGTTTGGCCTATTAGCTCAGGATTATTACTAACTAGCTTTTATAACTTAAATTAACCCATAATTCTTGTCTGTGTTTAGCCACATTGCTTGGTACCTTTTCTCAGTTAGGCATTCTCACCTTGCTTCCTCTGCACCTGGCTGGTGACTGTCTATCTTTCCTCTTCCCAGAATTCTCTTAGTCTAGTCATCCCTCCTATACTTCCTGCCTGGCTACTAGCCAATCAGTGTTTTATTAAACTAATACAAATGACAAATCTTTACAGTGTACAAGAACATTCTCCCACAGCAATTAAAGGAATATATAGTAAAGGAAAAAAGAAACTAGAACAGAATTAAAATAGAATGATAAAGTAGACCTCAAAAAAAATGTAAAATTTCTAGACCTACAATTTTAATAAGAAACCATGTATATATAGAATAAGAAATATATCAGATGTGTGCGTGTCTGTCTCTAATATAGCGTAGGGAACAAACCCGGTTAAGAAAGGTTAAATGTTAGTACTGGACTCAAGACTACCTTTAGAGGAATACTTGTTAAGTCTATGAATATACCTTTTAGCTGAATATTCCCTCAAAAAGGTTAAATGAAACCTGGACTTGATAATGCTGAAAGGAAAATTACTGAAAGTATGAAGTTCTGGCTTAACACTTAAACCTCAATTTGAAAATGTGGTTTTCATAAGTTTGTATAACATTTTCATTAAAATCTATGGCACCTCTTGCTGTAGCTTCATGGTTATCAAGCTGCAAACAGGAAAAGGATATTCGCTGGTGGTTTATTTGGTAACTGCTACCTCATCACAAAATCAACGTGTTCTCACCAAATGATAAATACAAATAATACATGTGACAAGGAAGGAAAATCAAAAGTTTTATGCTTGTCCTGTTAGGTGCCTACTATGTCTTCTCCTATGCTTAATCCATTTAAAGGATCTGCAGATTTGCTAACTGTTATACAAGAATGTTTCCACATCCCTCTACCATCTCTTGATATTATCATTCTAGTCTCCATAATTCTATTTTTGTAACCCATTGTCAGTCTTTTGTTTGAACTTTCTTTACTGTTTTTATCATGTCATCCCCCGCCCCCACTTCCGCCCCGTCTTACTCTGAACTGGTTTAGAACTTATGAATTCTGTGTTAGGGCTGTGGGCCTGAGCTACCGTATCCAGTTAGATTTTTTCATCTGTTCATTTTATAGTTTATGCTTCCTTATTAAGAGTCCTCATTTTTGCTTTTCACGTGCATGGTAGTCACAGAATAGGATTTCTTCTCTGTGGAGAAATACAGTCTATTCAAGCTAGTATAATAAAATGCAATGCACCAGGTAAGTCACAAACAGTAGAAATTCACTTCTCATGGCTTTGGAAGCTGAAATTCCAGATTAAGGTGCTGACAGATTTGGTATCCTGCAAAAGACCTCTTTCTGATCTGTAGATGACACCACCTAGCTATTGCTTCTTGTGGAGGAAAAGTTGGATGAACTCCTTCTGGCCTTTTGTTAGGTGCTACCCATTCATGATGATTCTAATAACTTTATGAATTTATGGCTGCCCAACCCCACTTCCCAATACCATCATCTTGAAGTTAAGATTCTTTTCTAGTGACAAGTTTTAGGTGAGATTGTGGCCATCCTGGTTTATAAAGTCAGTTCCAGCACAGACAGGTTATACAGAGAAAACCTGTCTCCAAAAAAAAAAATGGAAAAGGAAAAAAAAAATTTAGGGTGTTTGAGAGATGGCTCCATAGTTAAGAGTGCTTGTGCTTGTAGGTTTGGTTCCCAGCTCCCATATAGCAGTTCACAACCATCAAGAAATCCAGTGCATTCTGGCCTCTGTGGACACCAGACATGCATGCAGTTCACTTAAAATACATGCAGCCAAAACACTCATGCACATATAATTAAAATAAGGGAATAAAAACACATTTAGGATCTAGGAGTATGCCATGGCTAGAGAAGCCTTAGGTGGCCCTGTATTTGACATTTAGTACTGTGAAAAAGGGAGAGAGATCTGGGGATGTAACTCAGTTAAGAGTGCTTACCTAACATGTTGGGTTCAATCTCAGAACTTCATAATAGCACATGTCTATAATCCCAGGTGGCAACCAGAAGATCAGAGGTTTAAGGGCATTCTTGGCAACAAGTTTGAGTTCAAGGCCCATCTGGGAACATGAAACCCTGTCTCAAAAAAAGGGGCAGGAGAGGGTAACTGGGCCCAGACCATAGCAGCAGGCTGTTAAAGCCAGCTTTTCTAGTCCTAAAGGGTCTCAAGTTGAGTTGTTGTTGTTGTTTTCTTTTTTGGTTTTTCGAGACAGGGTTTCTCTGTAGCTTTGGAGCCTGTCCCGGAACTAGCTCTTGTAGACCAGGCTGGTCTCGAACTCACAGAGATCCGCCTGCCTCTGCCTCCCGAGTGCTGGGATTAAAAGCGTGCGCCACCACCGCCCGGCTTCGAGTTGAGTATTTAAATGGATTGTTAACCACTTAAAAGTATGTAGGAATCCAAAGACAGTATAAATTGTGCATAAAACAAGACTGAGTTGTTACCAGAGCCCTAACTTAAATTAACAAAGGCCAGAATAATAATGTGCTGACACACACAAAGTGGAAACATTTCTGACAGCAGGGAGGCTAAACTTGAAGACAGGCTTGGCTCTTTCCTGTCTGCCCCGATCATCTTTCTCTGTCATACTGTTGGTGGTACTCTTTCTCTCTCTGTCATGCTACATTTCTGTTGCTTCTTTGCTCTTTCTGGTTCTGCTTCTGCTTCTCTTACTCAGAATTCTCCTTCCCGTTTTCGTGCCTCTTTTCCAATTCACTTTTAACTTTGTTCATATTTTTTAAACTTTGGTACTTCCATTGACGGTCACAGTTCATCTTAAACTTAAACTGTCCCACAACCCCTCCTCCTACCTCTCACTGACTTTTTCCCGCAATGTCGCTTTTCCTCTTTGGGGGGAAAAATCTGTGTGGGGACACACACACACACACACACACACACACACACACACACGTCCTGAGCCTGAGCCTTGTTATTGCTGGCCATCTGTACAAGGTTGTGAGATTGTCTACTGCAGCACAAGGAACCCTACCAGTGGCGGCCCCTCATAGTAGAGTGACTTCCACCCCTCCTTATAGCTCTTCAGCTATGGTGGGACTTCAGGAGCATCTATCTCCCTGTTGGATTTTTTTCCGCTTATACTGACTTTTAATTTCATTTCAATGTACTTTTCTGTGTAAGCATACCATGTTGTATTGGATATTTTAACTGTCTTGATCTTGTATAGGTGAGGTGAGTTCATGAGTGCAGCGTGTTATATACAGAGTAAATATATCAGAGCATTCCTCCCATTCTCTGGCTGTGCATTCCTTCAGTCCCTTCTTCTGTCAAGTTCCCTGAATCTTTGGGCTCAGAGAGGAGGTTAATACAGAGAATAAATGACTACTAAAGAGGACAGAAAGAATGTAAAATCTTAGATGAACCTGTCATAATCTTCACTAGTACTCATTTGTGAATGCTTATACTTATTATTATAGAATTCTTGTGCTCAACTCATTGTTTTCTGTAACTGTTTTAATAATCAAAAGTATTACCTAATTAGTTTTTACTTTTGAAAAGACATCTTCATTTTCTGTGAATGAAAGTTTTTAAAATCTGGTAGTTCCTAAAATATAGAACATTGATATTTCCAAAGTTGTGCTTGTTAGGTTGATTTTACAAATAACTTTGAATAATTTTTGTTCTTTACAAATTTTTTTAAGGCCAGGTAATATATTAAAAAGTGGTGGCATTTATTTGTTTTTTATGTCAGTGTTAGTACTTTTTAGTACTACTGTGCCTCTTTTCAGACTCCTGCTCTTAATCTCCCTGATTGCCTGGCCTACTAGACTTTGTGAAAAGAATAACGTTTTTCACATAAAGCAGCATGTGTTAATAGGTTCATCTCTCTCGTACCTACTATTTTAGAAAGCTTTGCTTTAAGAAAAACAGTTGCTTATTGGAGAACAGCTACTAATATATTTAATAATGTTTGTGTCTTATACTTAACTGGATCTGACTTATTATGTGGATAACACAGAAGAAAGATAGGCCTGCATTTTAGGTAGAGCAATGTTTTATAAATAAGTATCTTTTCCATTGTTACCTAGTTCCTTAATTTCACATTTAAGACCATTTTGGTCAATTCACGGTGTGATATATAATATTTTTAGCATGAAATTATTCACTGAAATTTCTTTCTATAGGCTACAGAAAGTGAAGTAGGAGATGTAGACTTAACACGTCTTCCAGAAGGACCAGTTGATTCTGAGGATGAAGAAGATGAGGAAGAGGAAATTGATCGAACAGATCCACTGCAGGGTCGAGATCTTGTTCGAGAGTGTCTTGAAAAGGAACCTGCAGACAAAACTGATGATGATGTTGGTAAGAAATATATCTGTGTTCAAGGCCAGCCAGGACTGCACGGAAAACCCTGTGTGTTTAAAAAAAAAAAAAAACCATAAAAATAAACTGATTTTTTTAAATATTTATTTATTTATTATTTATACAGTATTCTGTATGCCTGCTGGCCAGAAGAGGGCACCAGACCCCATTACAGATGGTTGTGAGCCACCATGTGGTTGCTGGGAATTGAACTCAGGACCTTTGGTAGAGCAGGCAATGCTCTTAACCTCTGAGCCATCTCTCCAGCCCCCTCCTTACATATTTGTAATAGAAAGAACTGAGTATGCCAAAATACAGTTTAAGAACAAACAATAGCTAACCAAATGAATACATAACCATAGGATAAACGATTAGAGCATTTTCAGGCATTGTTCGTGGTGCTGAGGATTCAACCCAACATGCTAGACAAGTAATGTCCCACTGACCTCACACACTTTTTTTTTTAAGTTGCTCACAATTCTTCTCCAGCTTTATTTATATATTTTGTTCCTACATCTAATATGTAGGATATACATCCTCAGGAAGTTGGAGGAGACAGATGAGTATAGTTTATTTTTGTTTTTAAAGATAAGATAGCACTGAGGACTTGATCCCTTGGGCTCATTGGCCAACCAGCCAAACCTGCTTGAGAAGCTCCAGGTCAAAGAGACCCTTTCTAAAAGAATTAGGTGTAGATGGTATCTGCAGAAAGACTGCCGGGTTGTCTTCTGGCCTCCAAATGAGTCTGTTCCTATATGCTAACACATATGTGTACCTGCACCCACACATACACAAGCAAAAATAAACCAGGATGGACAGCACGTGAGGGTGACCTGATCTCCACATGCACAGACATGTCTACTTACATTTATATTTCAACAGCTTAAAATTACTTATATATGCACAAATGGTAAAAGCTGTGTAGACAATAGAATTTTAAACAGTTTTTCTTTTCTATATGCTTTTATGTTCTTCAACTCTACAGTTCCAGCAGCAAAAATGTATTGTCTGGTTGGGCAAGGTGCACCCTTAGTTCCTGTACAAGAGAGGCAGACTGAAAGATCTTTGTGTGTTCAAGGATCTATATAACAAGTTCCAGAACAGCCAGGGGACTTTGTTTCCAAAAAAAAAAAAAAAAAAAAACCAGCAACAACAACAGTGCAGCTTCCTATAGACAAATCACGGGGTGTTCTTGACTAATTATTGAATAATAAAGCTAGGTGTCCTTTTTTCTTTTTAAATGGTGTGTGTATTCTGCTATATTGTTATTTAAAGTTATAACTATTTTTTAAAGGTTCTAACACCTTTATTTTCCTTTGTAGCTTGACTCATGGTATGTCATTTTAAATGGCACTGTAGAAATTAGTCATCCAGATGGGAGAGTAGAAAATCTCTTCATGGGGAACAGTTTTGGAATTGTTCCCACTCTAGATAAGCAGTACATGCATGGAGTTGTCAGGACCAAAGTCGATGATTGTCAGGTAAGCTGACCTCTGCTCAGTGTTTTCTTATTCTTTGCCTGAAAATGTCTAAGCTACTTTTCTTTTTCTTCCTGGAAATAGAACAGCTTTAGTTGGAAATTAGGATAGTCAGTAGTCTATAAGTTGACAATAGAAATTAGATTTTATATTTGTCTCAAATTTTGTTGAATTGAGCAAACTACAAAGTTTTAAGAGAATGTTCCAAATAAATGTTTGTTTGTTTGAGCATGCAGTCTTATTATCCAGTTCAGGCTCTTTTCTGTTTTCAAAGAAGGAAGGAAATAGGAACTTGTGAGTTGTTTGTTTCTGACTTATTCCTGCTTCATGTTTTCTTTGCATAATGTCTTAAGAGAAGTGGATTTCACTTCTCCTTTTACAGCAGAATTCAGACGATTCCACTTTGGTCTGGTGTGTGTGTGAATTGTTTGTCTTGGTTTTTGTTTAGGGTTAAACAAATTGAGTGAGAAAAGAACTGATGCCGTTTGATTTCTTACCTTTGTGCTCTGCCTTGGTGCATAGTGATGTGTTCATGTACTATAGGTTCATTAACTGTCCACATGTTGTTCTTGGACAGTTTGTCTGTATAGCCCAACAGGATTATTGGAGAATTTTAAACCATGTGGAAAAAAATACCCATAAAGTTGAGGAAGAGGGAGAAATTGTCATGGTACATGAGCACCGAGAACTAGACCGGAGTGGAACCAGGAAAGGACACATTGTAATCAAGGTGGGTATTTTTGCTTGCTTGCTTGCTTGCTTGCTTGCTTGGTTTTTCGAGTGGAACCAGGAAAGGACACATTGTAATCAAGGTGGGTATTTTTGCTTGCTTGCTTGCTTGCTTGCTTGCTTGGTTTTTCTCTGTGTAGTTTCTCTCTGTAGCTGTGATGGTCCTGGAGCTTACTCAGAGACCAGGCTGCCCTTGAACTCACAGATCCACCTGTTTCTGTTTCCCAAGTGCTGTGATTAAAGGCTTTCACCACCACTGCCAGGCTTGTTTTTAACTTATTATAGAAGCTTCATTCAAGTTATTCATCTTGCTTTAAAAATAAAAAGGCTTTAAACCACTTTTTTGAGTAATGTAAAATTCATGATTAACATGTTAACGTCTAATTCAGTGAGTGTGTTCTCTCTTCTGTCCCTTTTCCAGCTGGTTATTTATTACACATTTGAATGATGAAGGATACTTACTTACTGACATTTAATACCCAAATTGTTACAATATTACTTTAGATTATACTGGCCAAATCTTTTCTTCTTAAATGTATAAGCCCTTGATTTTGGTTGTTGGTTTACAAAAAGAAAGTAAGCAAAATTAGAGATAGACAGGAACAGGAAATTTAAAAACTAGTCACAAAGACACACAGAATCCACAGTGAAGACGCAGAGCTCTTGCTAGCGTTGAAATCAGCTGTGGCCTCTCTGAACCTTACTTTAAATTAAAAATGGAAGAGACCAAGGAAGTATAAAATTAGGATTGAGTGAAGTAAATCTGAAGCTTTAGCATAATTGCAGTCAAAACAGCAATCTTGATAGTCCCTTCTCTGTGTCTTACTCTCCTACATTTTTTGTCATTCTTGTCTGTCTCTAGATATAAAGTAGAGCAAATATAGTTGAAAATACATGCATGTTTCTCTTTCTAAGCTAGTCTTGTTTACAAAATAAGTATGTTGTTTTTAGTTGGCAAATAGACAATTTAGCATATGGTCTGATGTCATATCAGTTTTTTCTTGGGAATTCTTAGGGCTGTTTCTGAGGATAAACTTTGTGTATAGTAAATAGTTTGTGTTGGGTTTGGTTGCACACCTGTAGTCATACCAACACTGAAAATGTAGAGGCAAGAGCATCAGGAGTCTTTCAAAAAATAAAAGAAGAAAGGAAAACATATAAGTTAAACGCATAAGCTAATGCACATTATTTATCATTTTGTTTTTGTTTCTGGTTTTTTGGTTTTGGTTGTTTGGTTTTTTTGTTGTTGTTGTTGTTTGTTTGTTTGTTTTGAGATAGTTTCTCTCTGTGGCCTTGGCTGTCCTGGAACTCTCTCTGTAGACTAGGCTGGCCTCAAACTCAGAGATCTGCCTGTCTCGTGAACTTTTTTTGCTCCTGCTCTGGAATCACCAGTTTCTCCAGAAAGTTCTTGATCTTTCCAGTGGAGGATAGCATGTATAAACCAGTATCTGGGAATTCAAAATATATCGTATATTTACAGCCTCTCAAGAGTCAGAACTGGAAAAACAGATATTTATGTTAATTATCAATGCACATACATGACTTTGTATTATACTAACATGAGTTTATATGATACAGTTCAAATACTGTCTCACAGACTTTTTAGTGTTTTACTTCCATATATATTAATATCTTCTCCTAATTATTTGCCTTTTTTAAAAAAAATTTTATTCATTTTGCATACCAACCACAGTTTCCCCTCCCTTCCCTTTGCCCACATCCCCCTCTTCCCTCCTACTATTATTCACTGTTTTTAACCAATCTCTACCATGCCAGTATAACTGTTACCAAACATGTCTTTTGCCTTTCAATGAAGAGAGTATCCAGAGTGGGATCCTCTTCTCCAAGTATCAAGCTTACATACTTCTGCGTGGTAATGAGCTCTTTTTAAAAGTTTAAATATATAGCCGAAATTTTGTACGGACTCTTGTCTACTGATTTACACAAATACTATGATGTTCTTCCTTTAAGGTTGGCCACTTAGCTTGTAAATCCTAGAACCACATAAATTAATTTCCTAGACTATGGTTGACCTAAATAATAAACCCATTTTTATAATGTTTTATAATGGGTTTTTAGACTTAATATTTTTGAGGATAAGAAGAATAACCTATAGCCTTTGTGCCATAAGTAGGTTATATTGAAGTCTTTCTTATTCCTGAGTGCCTTCAATAGAAGTGATTTATATACCTTGTTAGCACTGGGTGCCCTTGGGGAAAAAAAATCAAAGGTGATAGCATTGTCAGTATTAATGTGTGTTTACTGTATAGATGTTGTGATCAATTAATTATTTGTATGGACACAGCAAATTGAAGTTTAAACTTAAAGGCCACCGTTAGATTTTTTTAATTTTATTTTATGTATGTGTACCATGTGTAGGCCATAAAAGGGCAGTGGATCCCCTGGAACTGGAGTTAGAGATGTTTGTAAGTGACCATGTAGGTACTAAGAACCAAACCCAAGTCCTCTGCAAGAGCAGCAGAGGACTTCATCCCTTCCTTGTCCCCCACAGTTGCTTTTTATATCCAACTTAATATTTGTTTTCTTTTTAAATATGTTCTGTTTACTCACTTTTGAAAAGGTAGCAGAGCAGGTTTGCAAAGGTGGCAAGATTGATAAAGTACAACCTAGTAACTTAAGTTTGATCCCAGAACCCACATTTATAAAACCAAGCATAGGAGGTTGGAGAGATGGCTCAGTTGGTAAAGTGTTTGCTGTATAAGCACATGGATCTTATTTCAGAATTAAAAAAAAAAAAACTGTGATTTTTGAGCACCTGTAATTTTTGCATTGCAGAGGCAAAGACAAAGGTTCCTCTGGTTTTCTAGCCAGCCAATCCAGTCACTTGGTAAACTCCAGGCTTAGTGAAAGACTATATATTTTTAATTAAATCATAACAACAATAATAATACTGTTTGAGTAAGATGTCATCCTCTAGCCTATAACTCACACATGCACACCTCACCCTACTCACCTCCCAAAAAGCCAGACATGATGGCATATGCTTATAAGGCCTACTGGTTAACTAGCCTTGCCTACTTGGCACATCCAAGGCTGGTGAGACTCTGTCTCAAAAAAATAAAGGACAGTGCTTAAGGAACAATATTCAGGGTTGTCCTCTAGCCTCCACATGAAACATACACCACCCAAAAAAAAATAAATAATTTTTTTAAAAAGTCTTAATAAATTTTAACATTGGTTCAGAAACTCTAGGAATATATATATATACATATATATATTGAGGTAGATAAGCCTTTAAAATGCTGAATGTACAAACAGTAAGGGATTTAGTCATTTCACACACAGCAAACAGAAAGACTGGAAAAGTAAATACCTGTATATTATTCCTGTAGCCTGGGACAGAAGAGAATTTGAGGTGGATTAAATGTGGAAGAAAGATTACTTGCTCGCCTTGTTCTTTTTTTTTTTAAGTTATTGTTGTTGCTGTTTTTTTTTTTTTTTTCAAAACGTGGTTTCTTTGTGTACCCCTAGCTGTCCTGTAACTTACTCTGTAGACCAGACAGGCCTCAAACTCAAAGGATTAACCTGCCTCTGCCTCCTGTGTTTTGGGATTAAAGCTGTGTACTACCACTGCCCGGCTAACCTACTTCTTTCTGTTTCCTTTGCCTTGAACAGTCATCACATGCCCTATTGTAGCAGAAGTGATAGTAACAGCCCATACATGGGAGAAGTCAGTAAATTTCCTAGGCCCTGCAAATGCCAGTGGAAACAAGCATAGTTGCGCAAATGCTGCTGGGGGCTTATCCTCTACCATTTCTTAGCCCTAAGCTTTGGCTGCTTCTGAATTATGATCTGAAGACTGCATTCTCTCCAGCGGTAGGCTTTAAAAGACAATTAGGGAGATAATTGAGTTTTGTTTTGTTTTGTCTTAATCTTTTATTTCATTGGATCTTTAGGCAACACCTGAACGTCTGATCATGCATTTGATAGAAGAACATTCTATTGTGGACCCAACATATATAGAAGATTTCCTGTTAACTTTTAGGACATTTCTTGAAAGTCCTTTGGATGTTGGGATCAAGCTTTTGGAATGGTTTAAGATTGACAGCTTAAGGGATAAGGTTGGTTTATAAATATAAAAGGCATGGACTTAACTTTAGCCTTTATATTTTATTAACAGACACTTTTGCACCGTATATATCACATGGGGTGTTGTTGTTTTTTTTAATGAAAAATAAAGTTTACCTGAGTAACTTTGTGAGTCAGTGTAAACATGTCTAGTTATTTCCTCAGTTTCTTGAAAAATGCATACAAACTAGAAATCAGAGACTGACATGAGACTGTGATGGAGCTAGCTATAAACTCAGGAACCATAGCAGTATTTAGGGGTTTACCAAAATATTAGGCAGTTTGTGCAGATAGTTAAAGCATGAAGCCGGTTAGTGGATTTTAAGGAATAACAACCTGGTGACCTGAGTTGAAACCCCAGAACACACACATAGGTGAAAGGAGAGAACCAGCTCCACAAAGTTGTCTTCTCACCTTAGTACACACCATGGCACATGTATCCCACATGTATATCATGAGCATACACACTAAGTAATAAATGAAAATATTTCTTAAGAACTAAAATTATAATGACTTCGGGTTTCACTGTAGTTCTGCAGCTATGACACCCAAAGCACAAACAAGAAAAGAAAAAGACAGATAAACAGAACTTCTAATATTAAGACCTTTTTTCTGTATCAAAAAGTACTATCAAGAAGTGCAAGAATAGGGGCTTGTGAGATGGCCCAGTAACTAAAATACTTTGTTGGGCAAGGTTCGGGATGGGAGTTTGGACCCCATGTAAATGTAAATGCCAGGTGGGCATGGCAGCTAGCCTACAATTCCAGCCTCAGAAGATGAAAATAGGGCTCCCCAGTGTAAGCTATCTTGCAAGAAAAGCTATATCAGCAAGCTCTGGGTTTGATTGACAGTCCCTGACTCAGTGAATAAGGTAGAAGACTGATGGAGGATAATTACCAACATCAACCTCAGACCTGCACATGCATGCCCCACACAAATATGAAAATGGAAAAACCAGGAAAAAAATGTGTAAAACAGAACATACAGATTTGCAAATCAGATTCAGTAAGGCTCTACTAACCAGAATACATAAAGAACTTTTAGAACTGAAGGGCAGAAAGACAAGCAGTATGATTAAAAAACGAACAAATGACTGGAATAAACACTTATTTGAAGAAGATTTATGCATAGCCAAGAAGCATATGTTCATCATGATTGCACATATGGAAGTCCACTCAAAACCAAATGACGTATACCACTTTTCACTCACATGTCTTAATTTTTTACTTAACCTGTTGGACAAAATAAACTATCTCACCACTTTGAAAGTTTGACAGCATTTAATGAAGTATTAGATTTGTTTTTCTTAGAAATGTTAGTCAAGTACATTCTTAATTGTAGAAACACTTTCAATGATGTGTTCTAATTGAAATGACTGCCTTCACTTAACAACAGACAGAGGATTGTATTTAAGACACATAAAATGCACATCCCAATTCGTGACTTCTTTCTGAACCAAGGGAAACATTGAAATTAAACTGTGCCTCTGTTAGAACACGTTTTTTGTGTAAAATGAAGCTCAAGAGTGACTAGCCATACAGAATGAATGCTTCACATAACCACGTGCTTTCTCCTTTCCACAGGTGACCCGGATTGTACTCTTATGGGTAAATAATCATTTTAACGATTTTGAAGGTGATCCTGCTATGACTCGATTTCTAGAAGAATTTGAAAAAAATCTGGAAGATACAGTAAGAATTTGTTTTTATAATTCAGGGGTCTCTCTATTCCCTCAGCAAGAACAGCAACTCAGAACAACTTCTATCTTCTCCCAGATCTGTTTTTGGATGAGAATTCCTCACTAAAATAAAAATCAGTGTATCTTCTATGTTCATTTCTGTTTTGGAGCTATCCTCTAGTTAGAACTGTTCACTTGAACAGATTGTATCAGCTTTATACCTTAGATCTTAATAAAAAAAAAAATTTAGTCTCCAGTTATGAGAGATTATGTGAGGACTACAATGAGGTAGTCAGTGTAGCAACCTGAAAAGAAACTGTCACAGAGAAAATTCTCAGGAGCATAGTTTCCAGAGTAAATTGAGTTGGACACGGAAGGAAGAAAGTGGCGGCTCTGGTCCCTTTCTTACCCCTCAGTTCCTGTAGACTTTCCTGCAGCATATCTACCCCGTGCAAAATGAGGAAACGAGCAGAGATTGGGGAACTTGACTAATAGACCATTGAGGCACACCAACATCATATAGCTCTTGAAGTACCAGTGTGTAGTTATTTAAGAGACACTGGAAGGAAAGATTGAGTTACAGGATCCTCCCCCCCCCCAACAAATAATCAAATATTTATTGAAATCTTCCACTCAACATTATTATTATGTACAAGTATAGAATTTGATTCCTGCCCTGGAAGAAAAAAGATCTTTGGCTTATTAGAGCCATATCACAAACATGTTACATTACCTGTTTGAGAATAATTGAATATTCAAATAGGAATAGTACTTCAAATTAGACTATTACTGACTATATTAGACTAATTATAAAAACGTTAAATATTTTCTGAATGTGTCTGAGTATTAGACAATATTCAGAAAGGAAATCATTCTGTTTCAGCTAGGAGGGATGCAAGATAGTGTGGTAAGAACTTTGAACATTCAGGAATAACCTTTCATTATCCAAAAGTTTTTTAAAACCCTGTTAAGGAATTTTGTTGAGTGCTCTGGAGTGGAAGGACCCTTTCCAGTTTTGTTCACATGTTCTGTAGTTTTTGTGTTTTGGTTCTAATCATAACCAATGTCGAATTTTTAAAGCCTGTAAGAATAGGTACATAAATGTTCATTGTAATCTTTTCTACTTCACAGAAAATGAATGGTCATCTCAGGTTATTGAATATTGCCTGTGCTGCAAAGGCTAAGTGGAGGCAAGTTGTGCTACAGAAGGCATCCCGTGAGTCGCCACTGCACTTCAGCCTTAATGGAGGCAGTGAGAAGGGATTCGGTGTTTTTGTTGAATGCGTAGACCCTGGTAGCAAAGCTGCTGATGCAGGACTGAAACGGGGTGATCAGGTAAGTAAATAATCCCACACTTAAAGAAAACTTTTATAAGCAGTACATCTGTTACTTTTGTTTCTTATCTTTGGGGGAAGGTGATAGTTAAGAGAGAAAGATAATGTGTGTGTACCAGAGGACAGACAATTTTTGAGTGTTGTTCCTCAAGCACTGCTTACCCTTTTGCCCCAATCGTACATCTCCTCAGCCCTAGTGTTAACATTTAAATAAGGTTTATTTTTAAAATACTTAACATATATTCATTACTTTTGATGGAAAATTTTGTAATAGAGGGTTGAAAATCATGTGTTCTACAGGGCACAATCAGTATAGCCTACTTTGAATAGCCCTTCTTATTTTCTAAGGGTTGTGAAATTTTTCCTTGACAACTTCAGAATATTCCAGAAAGATGTTCATTAATTAGCACCTTACAAGTTTGATAGAATAGATGCTTCGTAGTACTTTCAAATGTAAGTGGCTGAAGATTAAATCATGTCACCAAATTAACTAATATTCATATGGTACCACAGCTACATTTATAAGCAGAGAACTATATGAGGGACCAGGAGAAACTGAGACATGGGAGAAATTGGGTAGGGATTTATTCTTTTGGGGATTTGTTTGTTTGATTTTTTTTTTTTTTTTTTTTTTTGGTTTGTTGTTGTTACTCTTTTTGGTTTTTAGACAAGGTCTCACTTGTATAGCCATGGCTGGCCTTGAACTCAATATGGAGTAGAGCAGCCTGGCCTTGAACTCACAGAAATCCTTTGCCTCCCAGTGCTGGGATTAAAGGCATGTGCCATTACACCTGGTTGGTTTATACTTTTAGTCATTAAGTAGCTATTGTGTGTCCTAATTCAAAGTGTGATATAATGTATCTTCTGCATAAAATGTAATTTCCAGGATTGTCTCAGTCTTAATAATATTCTCAACAGAACAGTTGGGAATCTGTTGCCATTTTTTGTTGTTTTTATTTTCTAATACTGGAGATCAGACCAAGGTTTGCAACTGTGAGGCAAGCAGTCAGCATCAACTTCCATCCTTGCCCCAGGACTGTGTGTTTTTACAAAAGCTATATAGATGACTCTCATGTGCATCAAAGAACTGTTTTCTTGCTGACCTTAAATTCACATACAGTATGATCATCATTTGGTAATGTCTAAAAATAGACATGTGCACACAGGTTTGTTGTTGTTTTTATTGTTTGATTTGGTTTGTTGAGAGTGTATCTAGAGATTGAACCTAGATACCATGGCCTCAGACATGATAGGTGAGCACTGTATTGTACTATACTATATTTCAAGCCCCTAAAAGTATTTTTGGGTATTAAAAACTTAAGAATTATTGCTGGTACATAGTGAATAGAAGCCACTAAACAGCCTGCAATGCTCAGGTTATCAGAAACGGTGAGGTATAAAGTAGGGGGCCAGGCATGGTGATGCACACCTTTAATCCCAGCACTCGGGAGCCAAAGACAGGTAGGTGTATCTCTGAGTTCCAGGCCAGCCAGGGATAGCTACCATGAGACCCTGTCTCAAAAAGAAGAAAAAAAGTAGCAATCCTTTGATGTTCCTTAAGGGAGGTTTTTTTTTTTTTAAATTGGCCTATTCCTCTATCTACTCATTAAAAATATCTAATAGCCAGTATCCTAGAATTAATGTATTATGTTTTTTCCAGTATTTCATCATAAAACTTTTAAAGATATTTCTCACAATGGGTGGGAGAACTGTGAAATCCAAAACTTATATTCTTAACAATGAAATGTGGTTTTGCTTCTTCTATCCATCTTCCCTTGATCCACTTTGTCTAGATCATATATTCCTAACAATGAAATTTATTGTGGTTTTGCTTCTTCTATCCATCTTCCCTTGATCCACTTTGTCTAGATCATACCTCCCTATTATTCATTTTACAGACATAAGTTTGTATATATCTGAAGATATTTTTATTCAGTGTGGTATAAAGTTATGATTTTATTCCTTAAGGGCACTGAGGTTGCAGAAAAATATCACCTTATCATATTGTTGCCTAATAATAGAAGTTAAAATCAGCCTTTATTTTTCTTTTATACTATTGATTCCTACACATAAACATCTTTATTCTCTGTCCCTGAGATTCAAAGTTGTCACTGAGAATTATTAAAATGTGGATCTCTTCAGTGCTATGACATTTTGGTATGCAGATATAAATCTTCGTTTTGTTTTTTGAGATGGAATCTCAAATGTCATGTTTCTGGCTGACCTGGAACTCACTCCGTAGACCCTACTGGCCTCAAACTTATAAATCCATCTGCCTCGGCCTCCAGAACACTGTAATTAAAGATGTGCACCATCACTCTAGGCCTGGTGTGTCCTTTTAGAATTCTGAATTTTCCTTACATTGATTTTTCTTTTCCTAATATATTGTTTTGTGTCCTCTTTACCTTTGAGAATTTTTGTCACTGCTGAGATCTGTCTTCTCTACTGTGCTTATTTGCTGCTGAATTTCTGTTCATTCGATTTTTAACTTTTTATACTTTGCCCTTGGTATTTACTTCATTTTGGTTTTTTTCTCCTTCCAAGAAGCTTTTTGTGTAGTAATGAGGTACAGCCAAATTAAGCAGTTTTTCACCTGGAGAAAAACCATCATAATAGTGCTGCTTTGGGTTGACTACCTGGTGCTTTTATTAGTTAAAAATAACAAATCTGATTGTTTTTTCTTAAGACAGAGACTGACTATATAACCCTGAACTTTCAGTCATCTTGCCCTAGTATTGGTATTCTAGGCATGCACTGTTACATCCAGCAACATACACACACACATACATGCATTATACATATATATGTAATTCTGTTTAGTGTATGCATGTGTGGACATCCAAGACATCAAGTCTCTGTTTTCACTGTTTGGGTACTGAGGATCAAGGCAAGCATTTTTACCCACTCAGCCATCTCTCCAGTCCCCATCTTATTCTCCCCCACCTTTTTTAAGTTTTATTTTATGTGTATGGATATTTTCCCTGAATTAGTTTCCTATGCTTGCCTGATGCCAACAGAGGTCAGAAGTATTGGATCACCTAGAATTAGAATTAGAGGTGGTTGTGAGGCACCATGCAAGTGGGAACTGAAACTGCATCCTTTACAAGAGCAGTTCTTGCTGAGTCATCTCATTTGAGATCCCAAAGAAAATGACCTTTTAAAATACGTATGATGGAAGATTTGGAAATTATACAGTACAGGGAAACAAAAGTCCAGTTTCTAAAAACAATAATCATTGCTTGCATATGGTGTAATTTATTCAAGTTCTATTTTGGTTTTTCTAATATTAAACTTATGAAGTAATAGGAGATACTAATATTTCTTTTTAATTTGCATTTTAAAAATATTTTCAAGATAATGGAAGTCAATGGACAAAATTTTGAGAATATTACATTTGTTAAAGCTCTTGAAATTTTGAGGAATAATACTCATCTTGCACTTACTGTGAAGACCAACATTTTCGGTAAGTTTTGTTGTAAAAGCTACTGAGGTAAGGTTTTGTTTTATTTTGTGCAAATAAAAAAGTAAGGGGGCTGGAGAGAGAGCTCAGAGGCTGCCCTTCCAGATGTCCTAAATTCATTCCCCAGCACCTACATAGTAGCTCACAACTATCTATAATAAGATCTGGTGACCTCTTCTGGCCTACAGACAGGCATACAGACAGAACACCATATACATAATAAATACATAAATCTTTAGAAAAAAAGAAAATTTTTTTTTCAGTGAGGTAGATAATAGTAAAATATAAACTTCTGCCAGGCAGTGGTGGTGCATGCATTTAATCCCAGCACTTGGGAAGCAGAGGCAGGTGGGTCCCTGTGAGTTCGAAGCCAACCTGGTATACAGAGTCAGTTTCATGACAGTACTACACAGAGAAACCCTGTCTTTGAAAATCAGAAACAGAATAAAAGGCTTTTTTTGTGTATGATGCTAAGATTCTTATGCTTTTATAATCTATAATTTTATATAATCTAAATTTTATGCAGAGATACAGCTTCAGTTATGTATAAAGTATCCACTGAGCTTTTGTTGTGTACTATATTATATAGTGCAGAGTGCAGTAATAAAACTTGAATAATTTGAATAGAGCTCAGAAGTCATAACCAGTCTCTTTTTTTTTTTTTAATTTTATTTATTATGTGTACAACATTCTGCTTCCCACACACCAGAAGAGGGCATCAGATCTCATTACAGATGGTTGTGAGCCATCATGTGGTTGCTGGGAATTGAACTCGGGTCCTCTGGAAGAGCAGTCAGTGCTCTTAACCTCTGAGCCATCTCTCCAGCCCTAACCAGTCTCTTTTACACTTCAAATGTACAAAGCTAGCTTTCTGCAATGAATCAAATGCCAGAGTTGTTTCATCAGATAAATTCAATGAAGCATTTGAAACCTGTGAAGAGATTTGTAAGCGACATGTCCTCCTTTCTTTGTAGAAATATTTCTAGTAGCTGTGGTATGAGAGATTGGGCCCAGGGCCCTACATATGCTGCCCAAGTGCCCTACAGCTGAGCTGCATCTCCAGCCCTGGGCGGTTTTGTTTTTCTTATTTATATCTGATTAAAACATGTATTAAGCTTATGCTTTGGGGTCTGAAGAAATGGCTCAGTGGTTAAAAGCACTAGATGCTCTTCCAGAAAACCCAGGTTTAATTCCCAGCACCTGCGTGGTGGCTCACAACCATCTGTCACTCCAGTTTGTTCTTATCTGACTCCATATTGGCATGTAAAACACACATATAAACTAACAATAAAATAAATCTTTATTTTAAAAAATAAAGTTTGTGTTTTTAATCAAATATACCTAATTCATTTGATATTATAATTTTTATGAAAATTTATTACCATTTGCTTTAGAAACTACATTGAATTTTGGCTAAAATCATGAGAGCAATACCAATACATCTAGAATAACAATTAAAAAACAAAGACCACTTAGGAGTTCTTCAAGACAGGGGGAGAAAATCCCGTTAGGATGATTAGATTGCTATGAGAATGACAGAATCCTGGAAGTATGCCCCACCCCCGATACGTTTAGGGTTTTTTGTTTTGTTTTGTTTTATTTGTTTACTTTTCACTTTTGCTTGTCTTTCTTTAAACTGTTCAGTCATAGAAAAAAATGAAGTAATTTGAGATTTTCTTCTGAGTGCCTTGGGTACAGTTACCTCAAATTAAATTGTTGCTGGACAGTTTTCCAGCCTTATAACTTAGTGCCGAATAAAGAAGCCTTCAGAGCTTTTTACTTTCTGGGGATTTACACTATCTACCAATGCCAACTTTTAGGTCATATTAAAGAATTCCGATTTTGAAAAATATGAAAGCAGGCTTTACTCTGTCACCTTAAGCAAATTAAGTCTCTCCCAAGTTTTCTGTCTCAAGTGTGTTTTATGTAATTCTTAAGAATCTAATACCTGAGAGTTCTTTGCACCTGTAACAGAAATATTTACTGACTGGTACCAAGTATTTAGCAACATGGACCCTGGGGAAAAAGGAAGACTTTTGGATGTAGGAGGCAGGGAAGCCATGCCTAAGAGCCTCTGGGTAGTAAGAATACTTTTGTCCTCCCAGGATCCTACATTGGTTGTGGTCAAGGATAGGGAACTACACCTGGTACTATAAAAGTGGGAGCTGCCTTAGCTCAGGTAGAATGCCGTCAGCGAAGCAGAACACCAAAGCCGACCTCAAACAAGCATTTGTAGAAATGGAGGGAGCACTTTTATCTTTTCCTAGTGTTCACAATAACTGGCACTGTCATAAAGTCGGATCAGACATCAGGTGTAAGAAAAAGCAGAAGATGGGCATAGAGGATGATCAATAAGTTATCTTTTTCAGATTATGAAGAAGAAAAGTTGATTCAAGGAAGGGGCAGAAAACCTGTCTAGTGATTTAAAACCTCATCTCGTGAAACAAGAACAGAAAAAATCAGGAAAGGAAAAAAACCACAAATCATTGAGAAAGAAACAACTCTTAGGGACACTCATGGTTTGTAGTTCACTTCTCACCAAAGACCAGAGCACCCCAGCAGCACCTTTTCGAACTGGAGCTCTCACAGACCTTCTCAAAAGGTAGAACTGAGCTGTAGCTTCCTCTCGGAGACCCAGGAAAACTTGCAAATTTTGCTCCTGGTTCTGAATGTCAACAGAAGAGCCTTGCATGAAAAGCTGTTTGTATCTTTGCCAGGTGGTTTTAACAAAGGTGAAAATTGAAAACCAAAAGCTGAAAGGAACTTTAATTTAGTAAAGCAAAATGTCTGTCAAAGATGAATCCTAAAGATATCTAATACTTTGAAAGCAAAGTAAAATGTTTCTCTTGGTGCTGGAGAGATGGTTCGCTGGTTAAAAAGCACTCACTTGCTATTCTTCCAGAGGACCTGAGTTCTGTTCCCAACCACCACGTCAGACAATATCCTTCTGTAACTCCATATTCAGGGAATCTGGTGCCCTCTTCTGGACTCGGCAAACATATGCAGATGCATGGCAGACAATCATATGTACACATAAAATAAATATCATTTTTAATGTCATTTTTATATGTTTGCATCATACTTGGGCACTGTAGTCTTGTCTTTGTTGAAGACCCCACAGAATGGGAAAAAATATTTGGCAGTTCTAACAGAAGTTTAATATCCAGACTGTATAAAGATAATTCAAGAAACTGGTTGGTATGGTGGAGGCAGGAGGATTAGGACTCCAAGGCTAGCATGAACTACCCAAATCCTATCTCCAAAAAATAAGACAAAGCAATGAAAGGACAGGACTTGGAGGATGAGTCAGGATTGAATATTCATGGCCTGGCTGAGATACATTGTGAAACATTGTCTCCAAAAAAGGAAAAAAGAAACAAGTCATCCAATATTTTTATGAGTAAGTTATCTAAACAAACAGTTCATAAGAGAAGAAACAAACGTGGCCAAACAAATATTTGAGAAAGTACTCTATATTATTGACCATCAGAAAACTGTAAATCAAGGCCACAGTTTCTTCTGTCATAAGTATCTTTAAACACAGAAGAAAAAAATATAGCATGTGTTGATGAAGAGGGTGTATGAGAAAGTAACTTTTTTAAACTTTTTTTGTTTCTTTGTGGATTTTAAATCATACCTTCTGGTTCCACTTATCTCTTCATCCCCTTGAAATCATCCTCTGCCCTTAGAACCTCCCTCCCCTCAACAAAACCAAATTTAAAAGAAAAACTAAACAAAACAGATGAGAGAGAAAATAATCTTGTCGTGGAAGCTGTAGTGTAGCTCATTGAGTCACACAGTTTACCCTTTAGTCCATTCATCACTACCACAAGTCTTTGGCCTGGCTTGACGCCTCTGGTTTCTGCTACACCACTGATAATGGGCTCTCACTGGAGCTCCTCTTGGATATCTTGTTGTCCTGTGTCTTGGAGATCCTGCTGTTTTGGATCTGTAGGTTCATCCCATTCACATGCTCCTGCAGTTCATAGATGATGTGGATGCTGGGACTGGCCAACTCATAGTCCTAGTTCTGGGCCTGGGTTGAATAAATCACCAGTCCCTCATCATTACTACCCAGGCAAGCTCTCCAGCACTGCCCCATGTAGTTTACCCATTGCCGCCTGCAACAGGGAGCAAGGCCAGTTCTCCTACTCTCAGATCCGGATCACCCACTCTCACCACCCAGGGTCAGCTCTACTGTTTTGTCAAGTGAGGTGCAAGGACTCTCTCACCTGCTGCAGGTAGTAATGGGTGTGGAGAGGAAGGCATCTTTCACGCACATATGCCACCATATGGTAGACAAGGGGGGCTCAGAGTCAGCCCTCCTGCGCTTGTGTCCTCAGGATTGCCTTACCTTTGTCCTGACCACAGGGTAGGCTCTAGTTTGCTTCCCTTAGGAAAGGAACTCTTTTTTGTTTTGGTTTGGTTTTTTGGTTCTCGAGACAGGATTTCTCTGTAGCTTTGGTGCCTGTCCCGGAACTAGCTCTTGTAGACTAGGCTGGCCTCGAACTCCCAGAGATCCACCTGCCTCTGCCTCCCGAGTGCTGGGATTAAAGGCGTGCGCCACCACCACCCGGCCAGGAAAGGAACTCTTTACACTGTCATTTGCAATGTAACTCCCGTAGAGAATGAGAAGTTCCTCACATAGCTAAACAGTAGAACTATCGTGTGATGGTGCTGTCTCACTCCTCAGTGGATAGCCACAAGAAATGAAGCCAGGAACCAGAGATACCTGCATGCTGATTTTTTGCTACTTTTACAAATAGCTAAGATTAAAAGTCATCTTGAGGCCCATTAATAGGTTAAAGGATGGTATATAATACTCGGGAATATTAAGTCATAACAGAGGTCAAATCGTGACACTTGGCCAAAGTGGATGGAGCTGAAAGACATTATGCTAAGGTATCCCAGTCTGACACACAAAGACAAGTATGGCGTTTTCTCTCTTCTGTGGCAGCTAAAGCAGTGTTCACCTGAAGGCAGGGTTAAGATTTCTAGAGGTTAGGAGAGACGTGAGGAAGAGTGCAAAAATGAAAGATACGATGATGTATGTTGCATGAATGACATCTTGATCTTCACAAGCATGCACAATTAATATCTGTTGGGTGTGTTGTTGTTGCTGCTGCTGTTGTTTGTTGTTGTTTTAACAAGCCCAGTGGAGTGGCACATACATGTAATCCCAGCACTTGGGGAGGCCAGAAAGATAACTGAGAGTTCAATCCCAATCTGTGAAGCAAAATCCTGTGTCAACACAACAAAAGAAAGGTGGGGAGGAAAGCAAGAAAGGAGAGAGAGAAGTGAAGGAAAGGGGAAAGGACAAAGAAAAGCAACCTCTCAGGCTGGATGCAGCTCAGTTGTGGTATGGGACCAGGAGATCTCATTTAATTTAGTAGTGCACATTTTCACACACGCTAGCAATAGACCTTTCTTTTTCTTTTTCTTTTCCTTTTTATTTTTTTTTCCTTTGGTTATTCCTAATGACTTAATTTTATCACTTTGGGGATCTAGCAGATGATTTTAAAATGAGTGTGAACTTGATGGTATTTATCCCTAAAATGTGTTGGTAAAAACATTTTAGTAAGGAAAGGGGAAATGATGAATTTGTTTATTTCCACAGTGTTCAAAGAATTGCTCAGTAGGACTGAACAAGAGAAATCTGGTATACCTCATATTCCCAAAATTGCCGAAAAAAAAAGTAATCGCCATTCAATCCAAGATGTCCCAGGGGATATTGAACAGACATCACAGGAGAAAGGAAATAAGAAAGTTAAAGCAAATACTGTTTCAGGTGGAAGAAACAAAATCAGAAAAATTTTGGATAAAACACGATTTAGTATCTTGCCTCCAAAACTGTTTAGGTAGGTAATACCAATCTATTGTGTTGGATTGTCATATTAAGTGAAGTTTTTATTGTAGGGATAAGAATCATGTATGTTTTATACATCATAAAATCTTTAATACATGAGTAAAATCTAAAAATCTCTGCATTATCTCTGTGGCTTTGTCACTATATAGTAGCTTTTAGTGTTGTGACTTTTATTAAGACTGTTTTGTGTTATTTATTTTTATGTTTCGGGTTCAGTTTCAATCACTATCTATAAATTTGGACGTAAAATTTTGAGGTACATCTATTGGTAATTTTTGAGTTTTTAAATATCATTTTTTTTCTGCTGGCATTACTTAATCTATTCTGAATTCTAATGGTGAATTTTTTGATATTTGGGTTTTTCCAGACAGTAATTCTGTCTGTATATCACACAGTGGCAGGAGCTCAAAGAATAGATGTATTCCTGAGGCTTCTTAGCCATCCAGCCTTGCAGAACTGGTAATCTCTGGTTCCAGAGATTCTCTGTTGCCTGTCTGAAAAAATGTGTAGAGGGATTAAGGAGATAGCTGATGCCAACTACTGTCTCCCTATACATATGGCCACACACAAGCCTGTGTATGCCCCCATCACACACATACACAAATCTCAAAGATCAGGAAATATTCTTCCTGAGTTCTTCTACCCAGGGAAACAAATTTTCTCTTCTTTCAATTTGTCACTCACTGGAAACTGATGCATCAGATGGCTTTGCTTTATACTTCCACTTTAAAGCTCATTCTTGTTCATTTCTAAGTCACTGCTTTCATTATGGTGAGTAGGTTATGAAAACTATAACTTTAAAATAACAAAAATATTTAATATTGTACATATCACAAACACCGAGACCAGTTGAAGCTGGGTCAAGAAACTGTTAGAGTTGTAACCCACTCTAAAAGAGGTCAGGGAGAGTTTGAGATGACCAGAAGTCACTGTGGAAAGGGAAACAAATCCAGAGGCCAGAGAGCAGAAAATAATTCACATGGCGAGTTCTTTAAGCAGGTAATGTCTTGAGTTTTATTTCCAGAAGCCTTGATGGATTGGTCTGGATTGTGTGCGTTGTTGTGTCGCACACTCTCTGGAGAGTGGACTGGTTAATAGCAGGAGACGAAGTTGCTGTCACCAGGAGCAGCTAGTTGAGCATTTCCCACATGACAACTTTGTATTAGTAACAAAGGAAGAAAAATCTACTAGAAATGGGTGTGTTTAAATTCAGAATGTATTTTTATTTAGTTTTTCATTTATTAATCAGTAGGCATTTTGAGTTTTTTGCATTGTGTGCCACAAGAAGCTGTTAGCTAAATACAAACATGAATAAAAACGTGTTACGCATGTCTCCTATTCATGTTGTAGCATAAAATGGCAATCATTTCAGTTGCTGAAATCCTAAAAGATAAATTAGAATCAGATTTCTGAGGCCAGTTTTGTGAGAGCTAGTTTCTCATTTTTATCTGTCTGACTCTGTTTTTGAGACCATATATTTTATTATTATTTTGATACAAATCATTTAAAGTGAATTTGGAAAATTTTTTCTGCAGTTTTTGGGAGGCTTTCCCATGCAAGGCAAATGTTCTGCCATTAAACCATAGCACTAGTTCTTGACTTTTTTGAAGCAGGGACTCCCCATGTAGTTCCAGCATGTACTGTATTTATTCTGTAGCCCTGCCTAGTCTCAAATTCTAAAGCCCTGTTGCCTCTTCTTCCCAAGTGCTAGAAACAGGTATGCATCACCACATCCAGCAAATGATTGCTTTTTGCAAAAGTGTGCAGTCTAGCTAGATGTAGGGAAATCTACAAGCCTAGCATTCAGAAACTCATCCAAAGCGTTGACCATTTTGCAGAGAACACAAACAGGAAATGGAAGAAAACTATAAACACGCAATGTCTGCTCCCGGTGATGTAGCTGCTCCAGCAAGGCTGCACTATCTAAGCCGCCCTAGACAGTACTACCAGCTGGGGGACCAAGTATTCAAATATTTACGCCTATAGGGGACATACTCATTCAAACCACTACAGAGATTCCCCCATTCTGAAGAACTCTTAAAAGTCATTTAGGGGAAAACATCACTGTGGCATCAGTAGATAATAGAGAAAATGAGTTCAAGTGATCGTATAGATGTTTATCTAAGGATGCTGCACCTTTTCCATAGAGCTCATTGATGGTGATGTCCTGCTGTGTTGCTCATACTGGCCTCAAACTCCTGTAGTCAAGTGATCCTCACAAGGGTTAGAAGTATACTAAAAGTCCAAGTACAAGAAAGTGGTTAGAAGCCAGGCGGTGGTGGCACATGCCTTTTAAATCCCAGCATTCGGGAGACAGAAGCAAGCAGATCTCTGTGAGTTCAAGGCCAACCTGGTCTAAGAACTAGTTCCAGAACACAGGCTCCAAAGCAACAGAGAAACCCTGTCTCAAAAAAAAAAAAAAAAAAAAAAAAAAAAAAAAAAAAAAAAAAAAAAAAAAAAAAAAAAAAAAAGGAAAGAACGTTAGCTTAGTACGTAGACACGAAAATTAACAAGGACGAATGTCCAGATGTCTGTTTTGGGTTTTTTGTTTTTTATAAAGTACAAATAAGTTTTCCCTCTTTCTTCCTTTATCTTTGAAGTTTCTTACTTTAAATATTTGGATTTTTTTAATTGAAATTAAAAATTAAGTAAATGTGCCAGTTGTTCGTGGTGTTTACCTTTAATCCTAGCACTCGGGAAGCAGAGGCAGGCTGACCTCTGAGTTTGAGTTTTCCAGCTTGGTGGAAAACAAACTCCACTCCTCCCTACATGACCCCAGAGGAGGAACAAGAAGGAAAGAATATAAAAAGCCATACATACTTTAGGTAAAAGTAGATAACACTTAAGCCTCAAACAATTATGTACTTTTGAAGTGAAAAATTGTTCCTAAAAAGCAATGAAAATAAGTTATTGATCTGAGTGATTGATTTGAGAGACATCTGTAAACTATAACCACAGTACACTTTTATTAATTGGAGAATATTAGACTGTTCCAAAATCAGATTTCCTTTTTTTTTTAATCACTCAACTTTTATTCTGTATCTTCCTAGAAATAACATTGCTTTGTTTTGTGCATCAAGAACTATTTTTTTCTCCAAGTGTCAGTATATTTTTTGTTTGCTTTTAATGTTGGAGTTATTTTTGATATGCACATTAGTGGTGTCTTGTGCCCTCTTTGGTTTCATAATGAAGCTAATTACTTTTATTTTAAATAAGTTTAGCGTTAGGGAACTAATTATTGAGGAATTTTTCAAAAATGTCTTGTTTCTGTTACTGCATCACCTCTCAGGAGACTGTTTTGGTAAGAAATGACATAATTATTTCTCAAATAGGTTTTATCCGTTAAACTTTAAGCATGGATTTTTTTGCCAGTTGTTTCATTCCTGTCATAGCTTGAATTCTGCATGACAGAATTTTCATGTCTACATGCTCACACCTAAGTACCATGAATTTATAGCCTGCCTTACATGAGTATAGGCTAGATAAGGACTTTTAATTAAAAAAAAAAAAAACAACTTTATTCTGTAAACTTTATAGTGAAGTCCCTTTAACCAAAAATTCTGACTTAGTGCTGGGGACATGGTTTAACTGGCAGAGTGCTTGCCCAGCATCTGACAGCTCTGGGTTTGAACCTAGGCACCACATAAATCAGATGTGGTGCTGCAAGCATGGAATACCAACACTTTGGAGGTGGAGGCAGGAGGATCAGGCATTCAAATTCATTCTCACTACTAGAATGTTGAAAGTCACCCAAGGCTACATGAAACCCTGTACCAAAAAAATAGTTCTACTTTTAGTTTTGTACTTTCTTCGACTTTGTTAGTAAGAGTAGATCACCTCTTTGTGTCTTTGGATTCAGTTACCTAATTTTATGAATCCAAAAATTGCTGGGTTTTCAGAAATCAGTTAGACTATTGTTTAAACATGTCTTTCTACTTTTTCTGATTCAAATACTGACAGCTTTTCTTGTCTTCTCTAAATAATCTTAAAATGTTTATTTTTTGACAGCCAGCAGTGCAAACCAAGTTGTAGAGAGGTAGTTTAGGATAAGCGGGAATTGCTTACCAAATAAAACCTTTCTTCTCCCAAGAGTAAACTGATGTTTCTCCTTGGGAATAACTAGCATCATTTCTGTCAGTTGTGTTGTTGTGCCTCTACTTCTCTGTGTCAGCTAAAACAATTGTTCCTCCTCTCCAGCTTTGAATTACTCTTATTTTAATTTGGTAAAAGTACTTGACTTCTTTTCATAAGAACAGGAATACCATTTTTCATCTACTTTAGCTGACTTAGCTCTTCAACCAGTGGCAAGCTAGAGAAAGGACCTGAGACAACCAGCTAACTAACAGTCTGTCTGCCATTACAGTGTTCCACGCCCTCATGCCTCCCTGACTATGCAGCTCTCTCTCTCGTCCTGGCTGTCCTTGTTTTCTTGCTATTAACACTCTGTTACTCTCCATTTTGTTTCATTACATAGTCTGCCTAAATCTTATATTTTGCTTTAATATATTCTATATATTCCATATCGCTCATTTTTGTAGGTTGTAGTTTAATCTTTGCCATGATAATTGGTAAGTGTTCTGTGATCCTGTTTGTATAGCAAAAACAAGACAGGAGACTGTGCTGAGTAAAATTTACATGAGAACAGATACTAAGGAACATATTTCAACACAAGTAAGTTTAGGGAGAGAACTCTGATTTTAGTCTTTGGTGATGATGGAAATCTTTTGCACTGTGATCCTAAGTTCTATAGAACAGTTTTACTTATAATTAAACTAATAGTGGAAATATACAAAGTTTAACTGACAGTGTTTATGTTTTTCCTTCCTATGATTTTAGAATTACCTATGTAACAGTTCTAAGTGTTATAAAAGAAGAGTTTCTTGTTGCCCTAGATAATGGCTTTTTAGTTAATAGTGTTTTTGAAACCTAAAAAGAGAGCAAACTCTTCTTACTGATTTAAATCATCTTGTGATTATCATGTGTTTGGAGGGGACACTTCCTGTTGTGTGGCTGTGTATAGCTTAGTAAATATATTTGAAATTTGAGACTGGCAAATTTCAAGCAGTCTCATTCAGATTGAGTTTTTCTGCCAAAACCAGAAGAAGCAAATTCAACATTATTTGTGATATAGTAGAATTACTTCCATTTTATATTTCATTTTAATGTAATTTTCAAAAACATTTCATTGCTGTCTCTTCATTATAATTACTCTTTTTGGTTGCTGAAATGTTTTAATCTTAACTGCTTAAGTCATTACACTGAATTGAGTTTGTTGTTATACCTTGAGCTTAGGAATCCAAATTGTTTGCTATGTAAGTGCCTTCTAATACTTGAAAGTGATATATATCTATCTTTTGAAGTGATGGAGGCCTGAGCCAATCACAAGATGACAGCATTGTGGGAACCAGGCACTGTAGGCACAGCCTGGCTATAATGCCAATTCCTGGAACTCTCTCATCCAGCAGCCCAGATCTCTTGCAGCCCACCACCAGCATGTTGGACTTTTCCAATCCTTCAGGTAATGTTTCTATGTGATGTCATATGGCCAAAGTGGTACCTAATACACAGTCACTTGTGCCATAAATACTGGTTTTGCCTGCAGAGTTTACCTCTGGTTTTTGGGTTCATGCAATAAGCCAGGGAAAATTGTGTCTTTTTACCAAAACATGTTACTTCTTTCTAAATTAAAACTTCATAATAAGAGCATCAGTGATAGTTTTCAGAAATTGATGAGTGATGGAATGAAAATAAATGACTGTAAAATTTATATCTCAGCACCTGAAGCTAAAGTTGTTTGGCGGGGCGGAGGTGGGGGAAGAAGACTTGGTTTTGGTTTGGTCAAGAATTATTATTATCATAGTATAACATTGTTTTCCCTTCTAATGGTTTTCAGGATGGAGCATCAAGTTGTTTTCTGTATGTGTTGGTGCCCAGAGGCATAAAATTTCACATAAGTCCATGATCTAAAAATCTCATTGTAAAGAACCGATTATATGCCATACACCACTTTTTTTTCCAGAAAAAAAATTAAAAACTGAATGTTATTGCACCCACAGGAAAGATGGGGGAAATGATCCCTCAGAGTGTTTCTGATTCAACTTAAATTTTTTGTTCTAATGCTTAAAGGAACAGCATTCATTCACATATATTTCAGTGCCAGAAAGAAAATACAAGTGTATTGGTAAAGTTTGTGTTTTCCTATGGCAACTTAAATAAAAACCCTTCAACATAAGGGAAAACATTTACTGAAGGTTGTACTGTACATTATATAGCAGCCTAAAAACTCCCACGGTTTAACAAAAACCGAGACTAGTGAAAGTAGTTGCGTACATTGTTTCCTTCCATTCCCAGCTCACGCTAGAGTTTCTGCACACAGCAAGTTGGTGTTGTGCGTCATTCTTTCTGTAAGCCGTCAAGACTGTAGAACAGAGATTTTAATGAATCATTGTTTCACTTTGAAAGTTCTAGTAGTTCCTGTAAAGGGTTGTGTCAGAAGACAAATCAGAAATAAGTACAAAACTGGCTGCCAGTATATTAAGTTATTTGCTTTCAGGAAAGGTGAGCACTAAGGTGTCAAAAAGGCAGGGGAAAAGCAGGCTAGGTTCAGTTCTGTGACATAAGAGGAAATGCCTGTACCAGGATGAAGATGTGTTTTGTAGATGAATGTTCTTTCTAACCACCTGTTCTGATAACCTGTTGCGTCATCATTTCTTGCCTACGTGTGTTTGACCACCTATAGGTTCTCTCTGCATGTCCAGTCAGCTGCTTCTTTAATGTGTTACTCTCGAGTACTCAAGCTCAGATCCCCTACTTTTCATCAACACTTTCAGCACCTTTGGTATTTTGGTTTTTTTGAGACAGGGTTTCTCTGTGTAGCAGCCCTGGCTATCCTGGAGCTCACTTTGTAGACCAAGCTGACCTCAAACTCACAGAGCACCGCCTGGCTCACTTTGAGTGCATTTTAATGACTTCTCATGTTCATCTTGTGGTAGAATCAAAAATCTATTTTACTTTGTATGTAGGTGTTCCACACTTCATAGAAGATTCACAACTAAAAGATTTTTACATTCCCAGAGAACAATCTAAATATGCACGTTTTTTGAAAGCAGTTATTTAGAAAGGGCATATGATATTACTGATTTGCTGATTTTTATGATTATATTGCCATCCCAAGCATTTATAGATTTTTGGGATGAAGACAGGCCAGCACAAGGCCTGTTAAAAGTTAAGACACTTGCCGCCAAGTCTGACAACCAGATTTTTGTCGGAACCTACATGGTAGAAGAGAACTGTTCCTACATGCCATCCTCTGACCTCTACATGCATGTATACATCATCATCATCATCATAGTAATAATAATAAAAAATAATAATAGGGTAAATAATTAGAAAGTGATGCTGAAGGAATAAAGAGCGACTTAAGGGAAAGAAGAGTGAAAAGTGGAAGGAGGAGGTGGACAGTATTTCACATGTAGAACTGTATCCCCCCTGAGGAGCAGGTACTTCTCAGATAGCTCTCAGATTGGATTCTCAGTTCTTTCCTTGAGAGCATCCTGGAAGGACACTGAGATGCTTTTTAAATCTGCTTAGAGAAAGTTTAATGCAGCTGAGGCTGCGATGTGTGTGCATGTCATGTTATAGCTGGATACACCTATCAGCTCACTTTTGAGACCTCCAAATGCACAACTTTGTGAAAGACTTATCCAGTAATATATTATTTGTATTTTTGTTGGGAAAAACTATTACCAGCTTCAAATTCAGCTTCTTACATTTAACAGCAATACTAAAAGTTAGCTCTGTCCACACATTTGATTGCAATGATGTTTGTCAAGCTCAGCTATGTTGAGTCTGTATGCATAAAGTTCTTACTAGATCAAAATCGCAGTGCAGGCAAAGCTGCAGAACTACTGAATAGTTTGATTTGATTGCTGACTTTTTATAATTTTGCTTTATTTTTGCTGCCTACAGCTGTTGGTTTTTACTGTAAGTATCTTGGTATTTTTTTGTCTTTTGTGTATAGTTTGTTATTTTCAAAAAGGTCATTTGATAGAGACCTCAGTGAAGTAGGAAGCATAGTTCTCTTTCCACTTGTGAGGTAGTGCTCATTGGTGTAAATCTTTTATTTATTTTCAGTGACTATGTATGTTTTTTCTTCATATAGAGACAATATACATGCCACTTTACAACTTGTGAAAAGTTTTTTAAATTTTTATTTTTTTTTACTGTGTGTGTGTGTATGTGTAAACATGTGTCATGGAGTGCTGTGGAAGTACTTTTTCATCTAACATAAGTTGAAGCTTTAAGAATTCAGAGTATGGAGCTAGGAATGCAGCTCAGTTGGAGTGCTCACTTATCTTGTAGAAGGCCTAATTCAGTCTGTGACAGCTGTCACAGTGGCACAGGCTTGTAACCCCAGCAGTTAGGTGGCGATCAGAAGTTAAAGTTCACCTTCAGCTTCATGGCAGGTTTGAAGCCAACTTGGGCTACATAAGACACATCTCCAAGAATTTTTTTTTTTCCAGTGTGGCTAAATGAAATTTGACTCCGGTCCCTCCTACACCCATTGCTGCTGCTGCCAAGTTTATATACAGAGCTCTTTATGGTTACTGTATCATTTAGTAGCTAAAAATCCTATTTATTTTCAGTAGCAAACTTAATTTTGTCCTATGTAAAGTCTTTGCTGCTTTTTAATTATAAGTACAGATATCATGTACTTTTTTTTTTTTTTTTTTTTTGGTTTTTGGTTTTTCCAGGCAGGGTTTTTCTGTGGCTTTGGAGCCTGTCCTGGCACTAGCTCTGTAGACCAGGCTGGTCTTGAACTCATAGAGATCCTCCTGCCTCTGCCTCCCGAGTGCTGGGATTAAAGGCGTGTGCCACCATCACCCAGCCTTATCATGTACTTTTTAAGTAAAACTTTAGAGAAAGGGTAAGTACAAGTGTCTCCACCCTTCAGATTTTACAATAATTTACTTGTAATAATTTCACAAGTTTCGTTGAATGTAAAATATGGCATCAATCGATCCCTTTAATTTAATTGGGATGATACACACTTCCACTCGCCATTTTATTTAACAGAGTTCCTTAAATATTTATGTATCTGAATGATATGTTCTACCAGCATTGTTTAAAGAGATGGTAAAAATTCTTTAAACTAGTTCCAGTAATGGGCATTTGTGTTTTTGCTAAGTCTTTGTGTTCATGAATTGCCACCTGTTTTGTATATGCATTGTTTTGTGGAGATTTTGTCTCGTTGTATAAGTGCCATAAAATAAATAAAATACTCACTACCAGTCCTTGATATGAGTAGAGCAAGTGTGGCAATAGTCTGCCCTAGTCTTTGGGGTGTGTGTGTGTGTGTGTGTGTGTGTGTGTGTGTGTGTGCGCGCGCGCGCGCCCTGGTCACTTTGTGAGCTGTTCTACTTGTTACTGTCTTTCCTTGAACCACTTTCTACTCTCTTGAATATTAGTGAATTTCCTGAGGTCAGAGACTTGTCTGCTTTCTTTGCCACTGTATTTTCTTCACCTAAAACACAGTAGATACACAAATGCTCGGGTGGGGTGGGAGTAGAGAATGAAAAAGTAAACTTTATTTTCTTAAAGATCCTTCTAAATACTTGAAAAATTATTCCATCTTTAGTGTAATCTCAAGGGCAGTACATCCTTAAAAGGTTTTGTTTTTGAAACAGGGTTTCTCTGTGTAGTTCTGGCTATCTTAGAACTTGCTAGGTAAACCAGGCTGCCCCTCACTCAGATCTGCGTACCTCTATCTCCCGAGAGTCAAGATGAAAGACATATGCCACCACAACCAGCTCCCTAAAAGTATTTATTTATTTTATACACACCAAATTAAAGTTATCGCTCTAGAGGGTGGACCACTACTCAGCAGTTACAAACACTGACTACTCTTTCAGAGGATCTCGAGCCAGTTCCACGGGACTCAGTAGCACTGCTGGAACATGGTGCCATCTGTACAGACAATCAAGCATACTCGCATACAAGTGAATAATCTTCAAAAATACATGTAGTTAGTGCTCCAAAAATGTGTTTCTAGCTTTTAAATTCAGATATCTGGAATTTCTGTTTGTTTCACTTGTCTTATTTGTTTCATTTCTTAAAAATAAAATCTAGCTGGGCCGTGGTGGCGCACGCCTTTAATCCCAGCACTCAGGAAGCAGAGGCAGGCGGATCTCTGAGCGTTCGAGACCAGCCTGGTCTATAAGAGCTAGTTTCAGGACGGGCTCCAAAGCTACAGAGAAACCCTGTCTCACAAAACCAAAAATAAATAAATAAAATAAAATCTAAGTGTCTGGAGAGATGGCTACTCTTCCAGAGGTCCTGAGTTCAAGTCCCAGCAGCCACATGGTGGTTCATAACCATTTGTAATAAGATCTGGTGCCCTCTTCTGGCCTGCAGGCATACATGCCGGCAGAACACTGTTTACATAATATAAATAAATCGTTTTAAAAAAAAAGAATGTGTTATAAGAATAAAATCTGAGGGCTGATGAAATGGCTTAACAGTTACATGCACATTTTCCACTAAAACTGCCCAACTAAATTCTGTCCCTGGGGCCCACATAGTGGAAGGAGAGAAACCAACTCCCAGATTTTGTCCTGCTTTCCATATAGGTGCTGTGACATGTGTTTGCCCCTCCAGTCATACCAGCACACAAATAAACAAATCAATTATATATAAATAAAATATGAATATCTGAGTTAAATACTGTACACTCCAGATCTTTTAAAGCATGTCTTTCTGGGACTGCGGTGATAGCTTAGGGGCAGAACTTGCCTAGCATATATAAAAGCCACCATCATCATCACCCAAAAATAACTACTTTTAACAGAATTTTTGTGTATGCATTTTTGCTTCGTGACTGGAATTTGCGATGATTATATCATTTTTTTCTTTTTGATTCTTTTGATCTCATATTTACTGTTCATCTAATTCTATATTATCTACATCTATCATGAGCCAAATATTATGTTTGGCCCTGTACATGATTCTTCATCTGGCAGCATGTTTGTAAATAATGTACATACAGTGATTTTAAAATAAACAAAGGTTGTTCTCTTGCTGGTACCAGTGAGGAGAAACTGTGTTTCTTCTGATTTCACTGTTCTCCAGGTTGGCTTTCATGACATTGGCAGATTTATCAGGATTCAGTTGTGATGCCTTTGGGTAAATCCTATTTACAGATTTTTTTTCTAGCACCTTTTTTTTTTTAACTTGACTTTCTGTTATGTGACTATCACCTAAGGAACAAATGTCTTTAGAAAGTAAAGCTTTTGAGCCTTGTTCAAGATACACAACTCTGTGTTCCTTCCCAGAAACAGAGTGTGAAGTTGTACAAATCCCCACCCTGTCTGTGAATATATTCCCCTAAAGATGTCTATAAAGGGATAGACGGTTTGCCATTCCCTCAAGGTCAAACAAGATCTCTTGCTGAAACTTAGCCTCCAAAACTGTAACAGAGAAATCCCACTTCTAGGGCTTAGAACCCAGTTCATGAAGAGTTCAGGTACACAGTTTGGTTCTTTATTAAGGAAAGTATATGGTGAAACCCCTTTGCTCACTTTCCTTCTGACAGCCAGTCTTCCATTTCCTGACAGCAATTTCCAGCACTAGGCAGAGAAGCATGCCTGATTTGGTGAATTATAAAACTGTCTAACCTTAAGTTGTGTGAGCTCCAAAATAACAGTGCTATTAGCTACACATCAGAGACTCACTCATTGACAGAAATCTAAGCAAGAAGTATTGATTACTCAGATTTTTAAATACATCAAAGAAATATTGCTTGCTACCTCTTTCTAGAACAGAGGCTACTGAGTACATGAACTTGACCCAGAACATCCATCAGTTAACAAGTAGAATTACATCCATGTATATTCAGTTGAATCTTTAGTCTTGGGAGCTGATTTCTTTCTGTGGTCCCATTTTCAGGGTACAAGAGTGTGGGGGTATTTCATTCTGTAGAGTTGTTTTCCTGCTACGCCTGTTCCATTATTCTCATCTTCCCTTTTTAGACAAGTCCCCCCCACACCTTTTTTTTAACTAATGATGCATAATAGTGCTAAGGAAGACAGTGCTGAGCAAATAATATAAAGTCACAGCAATAAATATTCCTATTTGAAAACACAACTAATTTTCATTTAGAAACTTAGCATTTGTTTATTTTTAGTGTCTGTCATTGCAGTAATCATTGTTCTAGAGGTGTAGCTCTTCCCTTCAAAGAAAAGCAAGACAGAAGGAGGAAATGTTTACATGTGTAAATTATATGAGTATATCTTAGGTAGTATGTATTTGCTTGTGGCAGAATCACAAAACAAAGATTGAGGTGTTTAACCATATAAACATTTAAACACTTTCCTCTTAAAAAACAAAATAAATTTAATATAAAACAGAGAAAATGGACTGCACAGAGGCTGACTCAGTAGGTAAAGTATTTGTTGTATAAATAAGAGGACCTGAATTTAATACCTAGTATTCATGGTTTTTTTTTAAAAAAAAAAAAAAAAAAAAAAAACCCTTGAGTGCTGCAATGCACACCAATCATCTCAGGTTTGGAGAAATGGCAAGTAGGAGATTCCCTGGGGTTATCACTGGTTCATCATTCTAGTGTAATCAAGGAGCTCAGGGCTAACTCCAGGTTCAGTAAGAGACTCTATCTCAAAAGACAAGTAGAGAGAGAGCCATTAAAGAAGATACCCAATGTTAACCTCTGACTCTGCATGCGTACTCAACACAAACTCACACATAAACAACACACAACACTCCCCCCTTTAAAAAGAAAAAAAATCAAAAAAAACTAGGAAAAAAATGATTGCTGCTTTATAGTTGAATAAGTGTTGGTGCCTTAATGTGACTCAATAGGAAGAAACACAGGTGGTGCCAAAAAGTATTGGAAACTAGATGTGTTGGTGCACACCTTTAAAACTCTGGCACTCAGGAAATAGAGGCAAGAGAATCTCTGAGTTTAAAGGCAGTCTGATTTACATAGTGAGCTTGAAAACCACCAGTACTACATAGAGAAACACTGTCTCAAAACAAAAAAGTATTGAAGACAAGAAAAGGAAAAGGATAGCCTTTCAGAATAGCAGCAAGACAAAAATGTAATAAACTGTTTTAATAGAGACATGACCAAATTTGCTCTCTCACATTCTATGATTATAAAATATAATTTTGGAGAAAGATTGGAAAGTGTGTTTTAAAGACCTGGAAAATATGCATACCTTTTCAGAGACCTTTTGAGAGTTGTCACTAAAGAGCTGGTCAGATTCCTTCAAAAGATAGTTTTATCTGCTGTGTGTGTGTGTGGTGGCAGGGGGGGCTCTGTATCATACCATAAAATGCTAATCCAAGGAAATCCAGTGCATCTAGGCTCCAGTACCACCTGCACTTGTTTGCACATTCACACAATACATATGGACTACTATTCTTCCATCCTTATTAAAAACACAGATAGCTTGTTGGCAAGAGAGATGGCTTAATGATTAGGAGCAGTGGCTGCTCTTCCAGAGGACCCAGCTTCAATTCCCAGAACCCACATGGCAGCTCACAATCACCTGTAATAGTTTCAGGGGATCCAGTATCTTCTTTCAGCTTCCGTGGACACTGGGCATTCTTGTGGAACATAAACATACATGCAGGCAGAATACCTATACACATAATTTTTTATTTAAAATAATAAAAATAACTTTGTAGAACAATAATAGCATCAAATGTTTATAACATGTTAAATGAAAAATGTCTTCTGAATTGTCGCAATTTTTATCTTTGTGAACTTCTATTAGTATCTTTCATCTGAAGAAAATGAATACATTTTTCTCATATCCTGTGTGAAATAGAAATGTATATTTCATTGTTTGGAGGGATCCTTGTACTCCAAGTTGCTTATTGGGGTGTTTAAATGTTACTTTTTAAAATACTAAGGTTCATCTTTGTGTTTATATAGATATTCCTGATCAAGTTATAAGAGTTTTCAAAGCAGATCAACAAAGTTGCTACATTATCATCAGTAAAGATACCACAGCTAAAGAAGTGGTATGCCAAGCTGTTCAGGAATTTGGTTTGACTGGTGCATCTGAAACATACTCTCTCTGTGAAGTTTCTGTTACTCTGGAGGGTGTCATAAAGCAGAGAAGACTTCCGGACCAGTTCTCCAAATTAGCTGATAGAATTCAACTCAATGGAAGGTGAATGAGCTTATCATGAATATGCAACGTGCTCTTTGTAGATTCTCTATAACAGTGAGTGTTTTAGGTAGAAACATCATGCTGCTTTGTTCTAAGATTAAAATGGGATTTCTCTCCTTGTCAAGTTTTTATCTCCATAATTACATAAATGGAATCTTGAAGGGGTCCTTAGTCTACCCTAAAGAGGAGAGAGAACAGCCCTGTATAATCTGTGTCCAGCTATAAATAGAGTAGGGCCTGTCTCTCAGCTGTGAAGTACTATAGAGGTTCCATTCTAAAAAGAGAAGAGGACATGAAGGTCTTTTGTTCAAGGACAGATCCATACCACTTGCTGAGATGTAAGTTGTATTTATTATAGGAGAAACCACTAAGAACTTAATGTCTACAGATCTACTTTTCCTTGCCTCACTTGGAAGTTTTAGACAAGAGTGGAGAGGGAAATGGATCTAGTAGCAGCTACTGAATAGGGACAAAAACAAGTCTTAATGTACATGCTTTCTCTTGCCAGCCAGAAATCGTATTCTCCATAAACAAATATGTATGTAGTATTACCCATATGTCAGATGCTATATTAATCTTTCATTGCTGTCACAATATACATGACAGTAACAACTTTATGGAGGATGGATTTATTTAGTCGCAGTCTATCATGGCAGGGAGTATGTAGCAGAGCAGAAGTAGATCCCATCATGGCATCCAGGAAGGAGAGAAAAAATGAGACCAGGGAGTAGGTATAACCTTCAGATGCCTAACCCCAGTGACCTGCTTTCTCCTGCTCAGCCTACTTACATGGTGTGCACCACCTGAGCCCATGTGAGACATTTCTTATTCAAACGATAACCTTCCACCCTGGCCCCTAAAGACGCATGCAATCTCAAAATGCAGAACACATTTAGTCCATCTTCTAAGAATCCTCAGAATCTTAATTGTTCTGATTGTTTCACACAGCTTGTTGTGTCCAAGTCCAAAGTCTCTTCTGAAATTCAGGGCAAACTCTTAGCTGTGAACCTTGTAGAATAGATAGATAGATAGATAGATGGATGGATGGATGGATGGATGGATGGATGGATGGATGGATGGATGGAAGGAAGGAAGGAAGGAAGGAAGGAAGGAAGGAAGGAAGGAAGGAAGGAAGGAAGTGATAACAGGTAATTTCCATTCCGAGTGGGAGTAACACGAGAATAGCAAGAATCCAGCAAACCAAAATATGACAGAAATCCATCGAGACAAACATTAAATCCTATAGATCCATGCCTGTGTCCAAGACACATGGTGTCATTCTGTTGGCTTTGGAAGACCCACCTTTGTGTCCTCTTGAACTGTCTCCACTTGTTTTTTGGCTTTCCTTGGCTTGTCAAACATTCCACATTGATGGCATCTCCAACATCTTGGAGTCTTCATTGTATCTTCATCTTAACCTTCCACTTTACTTACCACCTGCCCAGGGCCTGCTGTGGTCTTGACCCTCCACACATTGCCTGGCTTTCCAGCCTTTCTTTGAAAAATCTTAATGGAAGCTTCCATGACTAAAAGCTCTTTCAGTCTACATGCCTGCAAAAATGTTATCACATAGACAGTGCTACAGTCTGCTGCCAGGCTAGGCAGTAGAATAGCAAGCCCCTTTGGGTCCTAGTTACAGTGGTTTATAAATGGTCAGATGGTTGAGCATGATAAAATTAATCCTGGGAAACACTTTATCTAGTGCACTGTAGGGTATTCCAGTGACTCGTTCTTTAGAAAAGGAAGGTTTTACTCACATATTTTGTGTTTGTTTTTGAAGAACTGACAATGGAACCTTGAGCCTCTACATGGTAAGACCTCTACTGCTGAGCAATATCCAAAGCTTCTCTCTTTTTTTATTTATTACTTTTAATACAGGATCTCACTAAGTTGTCCAAGCACTCCTTAATAGAATCTTACTGTCTCACAGCCCTAGGTAACTGGAATTAGAGGCCTGTGTTACAGGACATGATGTTGGAAATTTTTAATCCTAGCACTCAGGAGACTGAAACTGTTAGATCTGTGTAAGTTTTGGGCCAGCCTAGTCTACATAGAGGTCTGTGCCACTGGATCCAGCCAGAAGTTATTTTTTAAATAAGTTTACAAGTTCACCCTCTTTTAACTGCAGCAGGAAAGGTCTGATCAACCCTTCAGACAGTTCCCTGTAATCCAGACACAGAGCACTTTGCTTGGCTTTTAATCAGTGGCTCTCAGCCTGTAGGTTGCAACCCCTTTGAGGGTTGAAAGATTCTTTCACAGGGGTGGTACATCAGATATTCTGCATATCAGATATTTACATTATAATTCATAGCAGAATCAAGATTACTGTTATGAAATAGCAATCAAAATAATTTCATGTTTGGAGGTCACCCCAACAGGGGAGCTGTATTAAAGGGTTACAGTGTTAGGAAGGTTAAGAACCACTGCTTTAAATGGTCCTGGTCTTTTTTAGAAGCATGCCTTCCTTAGGCCCAGCTTTACATAAAGCTTCACTGGTGAAACTAACTTAAAGATTCTACTCTTGCTTTTTGTTCCCAATTCTTGGCTAACCATAGCTAAAGCAGCTAGTAATAACATTCCTATAAACGTGGCTAAAGCAGCTAGGAACAGCATTGCCTCACAGCCTGATAATCTTAACAAGATTGAAATTTCCTCTGCCTAAATTATTTTTAAACTTAGCCTCCAGCAGTGTCTTAGGATGTGAACAAAATGTTCTTTGTTAGAGGGTATCACAGACAACCTCTAATCCAGTAACCCATCTGAAAAGTCTCAGCCATAAGTCCTATCTGTCCACATTTGTGTTGGCTTTCTCCTCCACAGAGTTCCAACTGAAATAGACCATCGAGCTGTAGTTAGGGCATCCTAGGACTTCTGTGTCTCATATTCCCAAGGTCTTGCAGTTTCCTCTTACCAACCAGTTCCAAAGCTAATAATCACTTGGTAAGATTTTAATTACAGCAGTTGACCCAACTTGTCCCGTACCAGTTTTCTGTGTTAGTTTCCCATCACTGCCCCCACAGAACCAACATGGTCAACTTAAGATCCTGATTTTGCCCTGTAGAGCTTTTATCCTCAGGATAACACACAATGGTTCACACATACAAGAAGTTTCTAAAACTGGCTATCTTCAAGGTAGTTGTCATCATTATTTTTATTGTTTACAATAATAGCTGTCAAGTGGCAGGAAGTAGAACTTCTCAAGATATCTTTTAATTTATTTTCCCATTTCATCTATAAGTGAATAATGTTTTTGTTAAAAAGCTTAACATAAAATGGTCCTTTGGGGAAGCAAAAGTAAAATCAAGAAAGCATTCTTATTAAATGACATCTATTTATGATCACATTTATAATTTCATTCCCATTTAGGTATTACCTTAAAAATAACATGGAAACAGAAACATTATGTTCTGATGAAGATGCCCAGGAACTACTTAAGGAAAGCCAACTGTCCATACTACAGCTCAGCACCATTGAGGTTGCCACCCAGCTTTCAATGAGGGACTTTGATTTGTTCCGTAATATTGAGCCTACTGAATACATTGATGATCTTTTTAAATTAGATTCTAAGACAGGAAATACTCACTTGAAACAATTTGAGGACATTGTAAACCAAGAGACATTCTGGGTTGCCTCAGAGATTTTAAGTGAATCCAATCAGCTCAAAAGAATGAAGATTATTAAACATTTTATTAAAATTGCCCTTCATTGCCGAGAATGCAAGAACTTCAATTCCATGTTTGCAATAATAAGGTAAGTTTGTACAGTTATTTGTGTAATGATTTTTCTCATATATAAGGCATTATCTGCTTTGGTATCTCATGTCTAGAAACAGAAAAGTTTAGAAAACTTTTGTAAAGAGGGGTGCATGTTTGTGTTTGGGTGCATTCTTTTAGCATTGGTTTTTTTCAATATAGATAATGTCATAAGCTGATGTCACATGTCTTTCCATCGCACTCCACCACACATAACGTAGTCAAGTCTCACTTGAACTCAGAATTTGCCAGCTCAGCTAGTCTGGATAGCCCTCTTGCCCCAGGGATCCTGTCTCTGCTTCCTTCACATTGGAATCACAGGTGGGCCACCAAGTGCTGTGAATCCAAACTCAGGTCCTCACAGTGTTAAGACAAACACTTGGCCATCTCCCCAACAACTAGTAAGTTTTTATTGGAATATGGTTAGATTTAATGTGTGTTCCATTCTGATGGTGATGGCTCGCTCTGTTTTTAATTTATTCTGTGTTTCATCTTTTATTTTTAAAAAAGAAGCCTTTTTTTTTTTTTTCAAAAACACCATTGAATTCGTTTTGTGTTGGCCAGCTACAGCTGGGCATGGGGCCTACCCTATCATGTGGTTCATATACCCAGAGAGATTCCATTGGAGAAAACTAACTTTTTATTTGGTAATGGGTATCAGCTGCAGATAGCTCTTGGTTAGGACTGGGAGCCTATTTCTATTTCTTCCTTTCAGTATTGGGAGTTTTCCTTGTTTGAACTTGTACAGGCTCTATGAGTTCTTATGTATATCAATCTCGCTGTATCTGGAGGATGCTGTTTCTTTGGAGTCATCCATCCCCTCTGGCTTTTGGAATCTTCCACCTCCTCTTCCACATAAATCCTTAAACCCTAAGAGGAGTTTGATGAAGACAACCCATTTAAGATTGAGTGTCCCAAAGCAGTGATAGCTGATCAAGGCACTGATCTGAGTCCTAGCATGATGTGGCCACTGGGAGTTCTGGATAGAAAGTGTTTCTGGGGACCAGTGGCTGACAAAAGCAATAGAGGTGGTCTAGAACAGAAGGCTAAGAGGAAACCTTTTTTGTTGGTGGTTGTTTTGTTTTGTTTTGTTTTTGAGACAGGGTTTCTTATGTAGCTCTGGTTGGCCTGGAACTCTCTGTGAAGACCAGGCCTCAAGGTCACGAGATCCACTTGCCTCTGCATCTCAGGTACTGGGATTAAATGCATGATCACCACCCTAGATAGGAAAACTTATTTTAACTTTTAAGTAAGCATTTTATCTACATGACAGCTCACAGTTATCTGTAACTTCAGTTCTTGGGGGGGGGGGGGGATCTGATGCCGTCCTCTGGCCTCTGTAGGCATCAGACATGCATGTGGTACACATAATACATGGAAACAAACACTCATACACATTAAAATATGCTGCTAGAACCCCATACATATCTTGGGTCTGTTTCTGCACTCTGTCCCAGCAATTTAACTATAGTTGCTAGAGCTTTAAAGAGGTATTGAGTTCTCTTAGGCCTAGTCAAGGTCTTTGTTCCTCTCCTTGTCCTTTGTTACTAGCATGTTTGATACAAGTTTCACTGTGAATTGTCTAGGTCTTCTAAAAAGTCTTATGAATATTTTCATTGAGATTACACAGAATACATAGATTTATTTAGCATTAGCTCCTTTACCCTAAAACACTGCAGCCCTGCTTTTTCTTTTCTCTGTGATATTCATATAGGTCTTGAACATTTATTTTAATGTTCAGTATGTCTTATTACTGAAAGACCTCCTTATATTGTTCTGACCATTTGTTGCTTCCGCTGAGTAATCTGTGTTTATATGTATCAGTTCCATATATTGGCATAGTACAGCATTCTTTTTCCTGTAGTTTTGAGTTAATATTTTGGGGACTTGAGTTATATAAACTCATTTTCTTGTTTCTTTCAAATAATGATAAAAAAAAAAAAAGTAGTTTCATCCCATTTACTAATGGCTGACTGTTTTGCCTTTCTGACCTTCAGGTTGAACCCCAATTTCTGTCTCTTGAGTTTTTATTAACTGTACTACATATGTAGATGTTGCACTCCTTCTCTCCATTCCTTCTGAATGAGGAGTCCCCTGTGGATGCTCATATGAGAGAAAATCTGGGGCACAGTTCCTAGCTAACAGGATAAGCCTTGTAAGTTAATTTACCCTTCTTTTTTAGTGAGTGGAGATTGGCAGCCTTAGGGCTATGTTACACCCACAGTTTCTCTCTGCTGTCCTTTTGAACAGCCAGCTTCCTTTTAGAATTTTTCTTTCCAGTCACTGATTTACTTCCTCTGATACTGAAGAGATCAACCCTGCCTGATGTCAGCACACAGGCATTTGTGCTCTTGTTCCAAGTCAGGACTTGTTTTTTCCCTTGTAACTTCGGAGCACCACTGTTCCAGCCTTCCTTCCCTCTTTAGCTACAAATGTCATTTTTTGGTGCCTTTGCTTACTCCTGCTTGACCTTGGCTAATTTTTGGCAGACATTCTTGTTTAGGACTTGGGCCCGCTCTGAATATCAACACAGGTGAAATTAAATTTCTGTTTTACCCTTCTTCTAGTAGTGGGGAGGTGATTACTTAGAAACAATGTGGATCAAACATTTTAACTCCTACCTTAAAATTAGAAGATAGAAGACATTTTATATATAGTGTTGTAGGTAAAGATTAGATGCCCAAGAAGCAAAGAACTAAACTGTAGGCGTGTTGAGATATGTTAGATACACAATATCTGTTATAGCGTGCAGCATGGAAGCAAAGGAATGGGGAAAGACTGCTTGATGGACATGAGTTATATTTTCAAGTTACAGTTCTTCTCTGTTTCAGAATATTAAAATGGTTCCTAGCCCGGCGGTGGTGGTGCACACATTTAATCCCAGCACTCAGGAGGCAGAGGATCTCTGAGTTTGAGGCCAGCCTGATCTACAAGAGCTAGTTCCAGGACAGGCACCAAAGCTACAGAGAAACCCTGTCTTGATTAAAAAAAAAAAAAAAAAAAAAATGGGTCCTGCTTTTTTTTTTCCACTATAGATCTTGGTTGTATAGTTTATTGACCTAAACCTAACCTTTCCTCTGAATCTGTTCTGAATGTTTTTATTCTCATCTTTGACAGTGGCTTGAACCTGGCACCCGTAGCACGACTCAGAGGCACTTGGGAAAAGTTACCAAGCAAATATGAGAAACATCTCCAAGATCTACAAGACCTTTTTGATCCATCTAGAAACATGGCAAAATACAGAAATATTCTTAGTAGTCAAAGCATGCAGCCTCCAATTATTCCACTCTTTCCTGTTGTCAAGAAAGATATGACATTTCTTCATGAAGGTATTTGAAAGTCATTTGAAAATTAACATGTTTAGCTTTGCTGCAGCATTATGATCCATTACTCATTTCATTGTAATCATCCCATGCTATTAAATCTTCATATAGTTAAGTGCAGCAAATTGATGACATCCAAAGCCATACTGTTGACAGTCAGTTTGAACTGTTTACAGTAAGAGCTCACATATAAACTTGACACTTTGCTAACACTCACTGTCCTGTGGTTTGTTTGTTCAGTTCAAGTGCCTGGTCATTCTTTACCTCCTGAGCACTAAGATTTAAGGCATGTGCCAGCCACATCTAAGCTTTGTATTTGCTTTATGTTTAGTAGTTAGTTTTTCTCCCAATATTTTGTTTTTTCGAGACAGGGTTTCTCTGTGGCTTTGGAGCCTGTCCTGGAACTCGCTCTGTAGACCAGGCTGGTCTCGAACTCACAGAGATCCGCCTGCCTCTGCCTCCCGAATGCTGGGATTAAAGGCGTGCACCACCATCGCCCGGCTATTTTTATTTTTTTTTTTTATTCAAATCACGCATAAATAAACTGTCCAGAATAAATTAAGAACTAGTAAAATTTACAACATAATCAATTTTATAAGGAAAAATTAAGCATTGCCAATATCCTAAAAGCTTGCTCCTGCCCAATCCCAGCCATTCACCTCTTCCCCTCCATATAGGTGACTACTATCCTGTGCCTTGTGTAGTTTCAACTGTTCTTGGACTTTTGACAAGCAGATTTGGAAAATGTTTGCTTTCTTGCAGTTAGATTTGATTTCTGTCTTCTTTTGGTCAGCATTGGATTAGGGAGATTCTGCATTGTTTTCCAAAAACTGCTTACCATTGCATTGCCCAGGTTCTATACTGTGATTCATTCTTCTCATTGGTGACTGTTGGGTAGTTTCTCTTGTTGACCTGTGGTGAAGAATACTGTTGTTGTCGTCCGTTCTCTGTTCAGGAAAGTGTATTTATTTATTTATTAAGTATGCAGTGGTCTGCTTGCATATGTCCCTGCAGGCCAGAAGAGGGCAGCATATTTCATTACAGATGGTTGTGAGCCACCATGTGGTTGCTGGGAATTGAACTCAGGACCTTTAGAAGTGAAGCCAGTTCTCTTAACCTCTGAGCCATCTCTCCAGCCCCAGAAAGTGTATTCTTAATGACTATACAATATAGTCAGTAGAATCTGTGAGTTCACCCATTTAAAAAAGAAAATGTGGTGGTAGTGTCAAATGAAATTGGTTTCTGGCATTGGGGGTGTTCTCACACTCCTCATCCTTATAATTATCTGTTAAATTCATTCTCTTCATTTCTGTGTCTTACAGTAAATAAGTACTTGGCTCTTGACGTGGTTATAATTTGCATTTCTATGATTATGAATGGGCTGAACATCCTCTGTATGCGGTAACCCTCTTGTCAATTACTGATTTGAAATCCTTGCTCATTTTTTATTAGGTTTCCTTTTTTGCTTACTGTTCCTACACAAACATTCTCTTCTACATCCTGGGTGTAAAATAACTTACTCTTTGACTCCTTTATGGTTTTTTTTTTATAAGTTCCTTTTGATCTTTTGCCAGTACAGTTTATTTACAATCTAGCTACATTAACTTTTCTGTGGTAATGTTATTTTTCCTACTCTGTTCCTTTGGTAACCTTATACTGTTTTACTATTCTTTTAGTGTTTCACTAGAGGATATAGCATGTAAGTTTGCCAATTTTATTTTATTTTTATTTTTTTTCCATGATATTTATTGAGCTCTACATTTTTCTCTGCTCCCCTGCCCCTTCAGTCCTCCCCCAAGGTCCCCATGCTCCCAATTTACTCAGGAGATCTTGTCTTTTTCTACTTTCCACTTCCCATGTAGATCAGATCTATGTAGTCTCTCTTAGTGTCCACATTGTTGTCAAAGCTCTCTGGGATTGTGGTTTGTAGGCTGGCTTTCTTTGCTTTATGTTTAAAAGCCACCTATGAGTGAGTACATGTGATAATTGTCTGTCTGTGTCTGGGTTACCTCACTCCAAATAATGTTTTCTAGCTCCATCCATTTTTCTGCAAAATTCAAGCTGTTGTTATTTTTTTCTGTTGTGTAGTACTCCATTGTGTAAATGTACCACATTTTTCTTATCCATTCTTTGATCGGGGGCATTTAGGTTATTTCCAGGTTCTGGCTATGACAAACAAAGCTTCTATGAGCATAGTTGAGCACATGTTCTTGTGTTGAAATTGGAGCGGCAGGGCTGCGTCCCCAGCACCCGGCCGCCCGCATGGCTAGCTTATGCCCGAAATAATTACACGGAAACTGTATTCTTTCAAACACTGCCTAGCCCGGCTAGTTCCAGTTTTCCTATTGGTTAGCTCTTACATATTGTTCTAACCCATTTCTAATATTCTGTGTAGCCCACGAGCTAGCTTACCAGGGAGGATCTTAACCTGCGTCTGTCTGGAGCGGGAGAATCATGGCGACTCTTACTCAGCTTCTTTTTCCCAGAATTCTCTTCTGTCTACTCCGCCTACCTAATTTTCTGTCCTATGAGGGCCGAGGCAGTTTCTTTATTAATAAGAAATCACTCCCACATCATTCTTGTGGCACGATTGAGTATCCTTTGGATATATACCTAAAAGTGGTATTATTGGATCTTGAGGAAGGTTGTTTCCTAACTTTCTGACGTCCAAAGGGATTGCATTCCCACCAACCTCTCCAGCATAAGTTGTCATCAGTGTTTTTGATCTTGGCCATTCTTACAGATGTAAGATGGAATCTCAGAGTTGTTTTGATTTGCATTTCTCTGGTGACTAAGGATGTTGAACATTTCTTTAAGTGTCTTTCAGCCATTTTAGATTCCTCTTTTGAGAGTTCTTTGTTTAGGTCTGTACTCCATTTTTTTTATTGGATTATGTGATCTTTTGGTGTCCAATTTCTTGAGTTCTTTGTATATTTTGGAGCTGTGACCTCTATCTGTGGGGCTGGTGAAGATATTTTCCCATTCTGTAGGGCTTGCCAGTTTCATTAGTGTCATTTTATTTCAGGCTGTGTGAAGAACTTAGACTACCTAAGTTTCATTTACTCAGCCCCTGTTTTTAAGCAGCCATCATGCTGTCTTCACTATTACTGAGTACTTCATTATTAGTTACTGAAATCTGTGTTTAATCTCATGTGTGTCTATTTTACTCACTGCTTTTATTCCATCCTAAATTTCTATAAGCATCTGGGTAGCTGGTGTAGTTTGTGGTTTCGAGGGCTGTGCTGTTTAGTTGCTTAGAAATTTGATTTTTGTGTAGCTCATAAGACACTGGAATTCTCTTAAAAGTAATGGAGAGGGAGCTGGAGAGATGGCTCAGTGGTTAAGAGCATTGCCTGCTCTTCCAAAGGTCCTGAGTTCAATTCCCAGTAACCACATGGTGGCTCACAACCATCTGTAAAGAGGTCTGGCGCCCTCTTCTGGCCTTCAGGCATACACACAGACAGAATATTGTATACATAATAAATAAATATTTAAAAAAAAAAGTAATGGAGATCTCAATTTTTGTTCATCTAAACAACCAAGACTTCATTTTCATAAATGCAGTTTGATTGGCAGCTGCTTTTCTTCGTCATTTTGAGGTAGCATCCATTGTCTTCTGGCTCCCATTGTCACTATTGAGACATGAGCCTTAGTTTTTCTGTTTTGCTAGGTTTTACTAAGTGTGGGATTTGTAATTTTGTGTCATTGTAATTCTGATTTACATTTACAGGTCATATTGAAATAGTTTGACATTTTTCTTTGTTTTTAGAACATTCTGTGTAGTTAGGTCTTCAAGTTTTTTATTTGTCCTTTGCTGAGTTCAGTTTGGGGATTAGTTTTATTTTGTCTGACTTGACCCCCGTGTCTTTGTAACCTTACATCTTAGAGCATGCTGGGTATTGTCGTTCTTGTCAGGCTTTCTCTTCAGCTGTGTCTAATCAGTTAAACCTGTTGCTTAATTCCTAATCTAGTTCATTGTTTTTCAGTTTTACTATTTCATAGTTTCTGTTAAATTAGCAGTCTTGGTTTTGTATCTTTGAATATTTTAAAGCTGCTGTATGGTGACTCTGTAGCCTGGGTCCTCTTGGGGTCTCTTTCTGGTATCTTCTTTTACTTTTTGTTATTCTCATTTTTCTCTTATCTACCTTGGTTTGGGGATTTTTTATGAAATAGTGAAAAAAGTACAAAAATCTGAAATTTATGACTGATATTTTATTCCAAAAAGGATTACACTTTGCTTATTTAAGCCTATTAGTAATCCCACATGATTTTACTCATTTTCAGATTTCTAGGCTTTATTCCAGTCTATATATGAGTCATCCTTAGTCCCAGAATAAAGTCAGAATCCCAAAGCAGAGCACTAAGATTTATTTGGGTATAGGTTGTTTTTATTCTTCTTACCTCAAAACACAAAAGGGCTTTATTCAGTTCCCTGTCCCCTGTCTGCCTTTGCTAATTGTCCTCAGCAGGAAGGGCATCAAAGTTGTCTACTCTTCCTGCTTGAGTCTCATCATCATCATCACATTACTTGACATAACATGATCCCCCACAGGCTTCTGACATGCTCTCAAAATACTGCTTTAGCTTAAGTGTGGTTTGGATGTTTTGTTTCCCACTGGTATTGTGTCCCTGAACCATTCCTGTGACGATGTACAGATGCCACTGACAGGGCGTAAGAGATGAGACTCTAGACCCATATTGCTCTCAGTTGCTTCAGGACCTTCTACATTAGAAAACAGTTGCACTGACAGTAATAGTCAGATGAAGTTAAATGCTACTGTGGTCAGGTAACTAACTGCCTTATGGTTTGGGCTAGGTAGGCCAATAAATGAATTCTGTCTGGTCTCTTTCCTAATCTTTTCAGGAAAAGTTGACAGTTTTCAAAGTCATAAATTAAAATAATTAACAAGCATGCATTTTCATACTAATGATTAAAATCACAGTGATAAATTCAGATTCTGAGAGAGGAAAAGTGAATACCAGGCCAGAAAGCACCCTATCAGGCAGCTACTTTTGTTTTAGCTAATTTTTGCCATTTGAAAAAGAAATCCAGTATTATTCAATCCCCCACCATGTATTCTTTTGGGAATATTTGCTACTTCTTAAATAGTTGTTTATTTAAAAATTTTTAAGAATTACAAATAAAAAAAATGCAGACTGGCTTAATTATTAGTAAATAAGAAGGCCCAGCAGTGCCTTTGTCACCCGGATCACCTAAGTTTTCAGATGCTGTACCTTCTTCCAAAAGAGCAAACAATACAGAATGGGATTGTGTGCTGTGTAATCCCTGTGTGTGTGCCTGTGAGACAATGAACTGGCTTAGCAGCTGTGGACAGTCAGTCACTTTCTGTATTCAGAGTCAGTTTTCCAGAGAAAACACAGCTCTTCTCAGAAGCTCATTCCCTGGGATCAGGGCTGAGTTGTCTATGAATTTATCTTTTTTTTTTAATGGTAAATTGTTAAAGCTTATTTGTACTCAGGAGTAATAACTGGACTTCTGCTACTTGGAGATATAATTGTAATTATGAAAATTATTTGTATTTCATAGGAAATGACTCCAAAGTCGATGGCTTAGTAAACTTTGAGAAGCTAAGAATGATTGCCAAGGAAATTCGTCATATTGTTCGAATGACTTCTGCTAACATGGACCCTGCCATGATGTTCCGACAGAGGTATGCCATGGAAATCCTGTTAACAGTGGCATCAAGGGTGGTGAGGTAATGTCTGTCCTTTATTGTGTACTGTGCTAAGTGTTATACACACATCCTTCTCCAGTAATCATATGGTAATCCTAACAGGTAAGCAATATTCAAATTCCCTTTACATCTGAAGAAATTGAAATTCAAGTAGTTTTGTTTTATATGTATACATGTTTTGCCAGCTTGTATGTCTGTGTATCACATGCGTGCAATGCTTGCAGAGTCCCGAAGAGGGTATTGGCTTCTCTGGAACTAGAGTAGCAGATTATGTAAGTCACCATATAGGTGCTGGGAATTGAACCCAGGTCCTCTGCAAGAGCAGTCAGTACTCTTGGCTGATCAGCCATCTCTTTAGCCCCTCAAGCAGTTTTTATACAACTTGCTAAGACCTGAGCCCATGTCTCAATTACTTTTCTGACTATACAAGTAGTTCTATATAGTTGTACCAACAAGCAGCATTAGAAGAATGCTAATATCCCCGAAATCATCTGAGTGCAAATCATTCCATCTGTTTTCTAACCTAAGTAAGCAAAGAATTATTCTACTTCTGTTTTAAAGTCCTGTCTCATCTAATTGGTGCTTCAGTTTTCTACAACATTTCTTTTCTAAAAGTTACAGTTAGCAAAACTCTTCCCAAAAAGTACTCATTTAGCCATGCCTTATCTTGATTAATAATGAGAGTTTCATTTTTATTTTGGTTTCATCTGAGAATACTTTTGAACTTAGTTTGTAGCTGAGGCTGGTCTAGAACTCATGATCTTGCCTCTGCCTTCCAACTGCTGGTTGTACACCACCACAAAATGAGAATGCTTTTTTAGCTTGATTTTTTTTAATGTAGTATAAAGGCTACTACAGATTTATGTATAGAATTTAAAGAAAGTTAAGCTGTTCCTAGTAAATTTTATAATCTTGATCATGTAAGTAGGCATTACAATTTAATTTTTTTTATTAAATTTTCCTTTTATACCTCTCCATGTAGGGCATTAAAAATAAAATAAATACACACAATTGCTTGATTTTAAAATACAGGTATTCTGCTAAAAAAATAGAAATACTTGATACTTTTTAATCAGTGTATGTTATACTGAGTTTTTATTGGGAGAGATACTGGTTTTGTTTCATTTATATCCTTGTCAGCAGTCATTTTTTTTTTCTAAGTGGATGATCTCATTTGCTCTAGTTTAGAGATTCTCATAGTAGCAGGGATGGAGTGCCAAAATCTCCTCTTCCCATCTCTTTTCTTTCTCCTGGTAATGTAGTGAGATTTCACTTCTCCAAAATCTGGAAGCAAAAAAACATTAAGAACCAGAGATCAAAGCACACCTTAAAAGAGGCTTGTTGTCTGTTTTTGTTTTTGTTGAATGTCCTGGTACAGTGACCTTTCCAATGTCTCTTGTCTTGATAAGAACCTCCATTTACTCATGTATGTTTCCATTCTAGTACCTGAAGACATAATAAATTTGTCTCCCTGCCAAATTAGTTGATAGTATACTAAAGTGCATGCTCCACTTCAGAATTAACAGAGGAGGACCAAGAGAGAGTGAGTTCAGGAAAGTGATTGCAATGCAAACTTGAGGACTTGAGTTCAATATCCAACACCATGTATAAAAGACAGGCATGGTTGCTGTGCTTGTAATCCATCACAGGGAGGAAGAAAGACACAGGTAGATCCCTGGCCTGGGCCTCACTGGCCAGCCAGTATTGCCTAATTGGCTACCTGCAGGCCAATAAAGAGAATCCTGTCTCAAAAACTACAGGTCTATGACACTTGAGGGACAGCATCATAGGCTTACCACTTCCTTACACATGCATACATGTGCTCATGCCTACAATCACGCAAACACAGTTATAAAGAAAATGACTGGAGAATATTAACAAGCCTGATGTTTACTTGAAAATACCCTAGGTTGAATAGAAAGTATATGAGGAAATATATTTAGAGTGGACTGAATTATTTAGTTCAGTTTTGTCAACTAGTACTTAAGTGTCATAATTGGGATCTCATTATGTTCCCAGACTGGCCTGGAATTCCCCCCCAAGTCATAGAAGAATAGGTACACACCACAACCCCTAGTTTGTTGTCTTCTTATTTTCACTTTTAAGTTGTTTTTGCTGGCCAAAGTACTTGCCAGAGAAATCTTTTTACTTAAAAATTGATTTATATATCTATATGTTCCTTGTAATTTCATTGTCAAGTAGCTCCAAAAATATGTAGAAACTCTGTTTTTACACTGATCATTCTGACTTCTGGTAGAATGCAGAAGACCACCTACATTTCCAAAAACAGAATAGAAAATTTGCAATGAACAGATTACATCCCCTACCAACTTATGGGTAGATTCGGCATTAAAAATGCTGTCAATCAAAAGCATATTTTAAAGTACATGCTATAGAGGAGCTTGGCCTTCAGAACCCTTTGTGTCCTTCCCATTCCTTCATTTCATGAAAGCCATTTTTTACTGTTAAGCTATAATTTTTTTCGTGGTAAATTTTTCTGTTCTATTCTGTCTGCATAAATTCTCTGACTCTCAACTGTTGTCTTTTTTTCTGTGCTTTCCTATTCAAACACATGCTTCAATGTTTGTGGCTCTTGCTTACAGGAAGAAGAGGTGGCGGAGTCTGGGGTAAGTGGGGAAATGAACTGGAATGAAGGTTGTGCAACTCTTAACATGTGCTGCATCCTTTTCATTAATGCACGCAAATCAGTTAGCATGCGTTCTATTAACTCCGTCAGCCTACATCCTGACAAATGCCTTTTGCTAACAAGGTGGAAGTAGTGATGGAACTAGCATTTTGTTGGTTGTGTTTTTGTTTTGTTTTTCCATTATTGGTATTTTATAATCCCTTTTTAGATTTACATTTAACAGATTCATGAGATGTAGATGATGATAGTGGATATTTGCTGTATATGTCCCCTGTGCTCTACTTTGCTAAGCAAATAACTTTTAAAAGTCTCCTATTGCCCTATGAACAGGTCTGGGATTCCTGGGGGATCCCAGGATGGGGAAGGTAACTTAACTTGCTCAGTCTTACCCACCCATTAATGGTGTGTCCAAAGCTAGACAGTCTGCTTCAAATGTTAGCAACACTTTCTCTAGTTTCAATGCCATATTTTATGAAACTAAACATACAAGTTAATGTGCAAAAGGTCTGTCTATAAGAGTTGCATTTTCCACTAGTTTTGCATAGAGTCAACTTTATTCACTCTGTATCATAAAAGTGAATACATTTTTAACCCTTCATGAGATCTACTGAATGCCTAAACTTGAAGTATAGATTGAAATTTACTTCAAACTTGTACATTTATTTTAAAAGATCCCTTTGTCTCCCTAAAGCTTCTCAGCTGCCCAGCCTTTTGTGGTATAAAGTAGGTTCTGGTCTCTTAATTCTACATTGCTAGCCATCTAGTTTAGAGCCACAGACAGTTAAAGATCTTATACATAATTTCCCTAAAGCATTCATTTTAAATGAAAGATTGAGTTCTATAGATGTGTGGAATTGCAAAAATAGAACATACGTAGAATCTTACTGTTTAAAACTAATGAGCTGTGAGATTTAGATATTTGCCTTACATGTAAGAATTTTTTGAGCCATGTCTTTGAGTCTTATTTGTGGTCTTGTTTTTCATTTGGTGAACTTGACTTTCCTCTTCTGGTGTGTTTCTTGTGTGTTTTCTTCTACGTCATACATTTGTGTCTTGATCTTCCCTGGTTCTTTTTACTGAAAGTAGAAACTTGATAGCCTGGCATTACAACTAAAGCAGGGCATCTTAAGACCTAGTGAGTGAGCTAAGTAGTTACTGTGGGCTTCAGGTTGTATAGTGTTTGGGGCTTGCAGACAGCAGGTGTTTTCATTTCACGTCAGTATTTGTTGCTTTGGAAGTCGTTCAGTAGAAACTTTATTGTCTTATATCATTCTCATGCATTAGAACTTTGTGTCCTAGGTTTGTTTACAAACTGGCTTTTTTATTTTGGATAACAACTAAGATTAAATTATTAAACACTTGCATCCAAATTTGCTCCGAAATGCTAAGACTTTGTTTCACTGTGAGTTTGGTTCCTGGAACCCACACAGAGGTAGGAAAGAACCAGTTCCACACAGCTGTCCTGTGACCTCCATAGATGCACTGTAGCATATCCACACAGTAATAATGGCACCACATGCTGAGATGTTATCTTGTATGCCAAGAAAAGCCGGTGCAATATCTCATTAGTCTATGCCCATTGAAATGCCTCGCATTTGTCTGGACTTAACTTTACACTTTCCTCACATGACACCCTATGTATACATAAAAGGGAAGATAAAAGGAAAGTGAATTTGTTTAGATGTTTCTAAAACTTTATATTCAGAATTTGAATTTTCCAGATCACTTTTAGAGCATTGGTGCCCACCCCTTGCCCCAGACCAGTATCTTGGTCATCCATCACTTGAGGATAAACAAACCATAAAAGAAGACAAAGCTGACCCTGTGGTTATCTCGACTTGCTTAGCACATGGAGCCTCTCTCCCCTTGACATTGTTAGAGATTTATTAAAATTTTGAGGTTTTGCATTCTTTAATCAAGTGTTTCTTAAAGGTTAAAGGATAATTCACTGGTTAATGAGATTTTTTTCCTCCAAACCATTCTGCAAGTTTTGCAAATTTTACAGTTTTTCCCTTGTGTCACTCACAGCCATATCTTCTTTCCTGCCTGACCAGCATCACCTAAAAGTTGCCATCAATATACCAAGCAGTGGTAGCACAGCAGAGGCAGGTACAGGCTTATCTCAGAGTTCAAGACAGCCAGGGCCACACAAAAGAAACCCCGTCTCCAAACAAACAAACAAAAAAGTTGCCATCAAATATAAGGTATAACTGTATCAATTTCCTTCCTCTTTTTTTAAGAGTTATTTTGTCTTGTTTTTATTTTAGTTACATAAAAAATAGTAAGTTTCTTTATGATACTTTCAAACGTGTACTTGGCCTCCCTTCTCACCCTCCCCTGGGAACCCTGCTTCAAAGGTCTTAAAAATGTGACAGAAAAAATGCCATTAAGAGTTTCTCAACTCTGTCTTATGTGATTTACAATGAAAACATTAAGATTCAGTGTCTGTTTTAAGTCAGGTATGTGAACATTGAAGAACAAATTGTGTGTTTATGGTCTGTGTTTTAGAGCATCTTATGTAAATAATGCTAATATTGAAAATGGAGATACTCTTACCTTCCAATTAAAGACCTTTTGAGTCAGGCAAGCCTGGAATCCTGAGTGATAACCTGGGGTCCATATAGGTAGGAGGAGAGAACCACTCCTCAAACCTTGACAGACTTGCTTTGGCACATACCCACCTGCACACGTACAGTAATAAACAATCCTCTACAAGCATTTAATTTGCTAGCCTGTTAGGATCAGCTCCATTGCAGTGCTCCCTTTCATTGGTTCTGGATGTGCATTGTATAAGCAGGCCTGACGAAAACAGTAGAGTTGGATAAAGCGGTAGCTTATTTGAATAGTACTTATTTCTAAGATCCAGTCTGCAGTTCTGTCATAATCCGAGGTATTGCAACCATAGAATCTTAGCTCCTACTTCTAGAATTCAAGTTGTATCTGGCCACATCATATTTGCAGACACAGAAACAATTTATTTTACTGCGTTTCTAATTTCTGACTATACTAGATTGAAATGTTGTCTTGTTCTCTTTAATTTTTGGTCACAATATGCTTGGTTGCTATTAAAATTGATCACCACACTTGAAGTGGCCCTATCACAGAGTGGTGCTTTACAGGATATAACTAGCAGCACAGGTAACAACGCTGCTCTGTTTGCCGAAGGACTGATGACGGATTTATCCTGTCTTAGACTCTTACCACATCTTACAGTGAATGGTCTAAATGGACCAGAGGAAAGCATTTCTTGGCATCGTTCTGCCGTGGGTTGCATAGGCACACACAGATGTAATGAAATATGTTGCTCAGGGAGAAATTGGTATCTTACTCTTTTGAATCCCGGGTTTTGCCAGATCTTGTTCTAATTGAGAACATTGCCATCTGTGCCAGATTACTTCGCATTATTAATGCTCTTCATCTTTTAACTCATTTACATCAGCATGCAGTAGTATTAACAGAAAAAAAATCTTTGAATCTTTCTTTTTTCATGCTAAACTCTCATCTTTACAGGCTTTCATTGCAGTTTCTGTCTTTTTACAGGTCATTGAGTCAAGGCAGCACAAATTCAAACATGCTAGATGTTCAGGGAGGTGCTCACAAGAAAAGAGCACGCCGCAGCTCACTGCTGAATGCCAAGAAGCTATATGAAGATGCCCAAATGGCAAGGAAAGTGAAACAGTATCTTTCTAGTCTGGACATAGATACAGATGAGGAGAAGTTCCAGATGATGTCACTGCAGTGGGAGCCTGCATATGGTACCTGTGAGTATTTTCTTTTTTATCACATGGGTGAGCACAACAAAGCAGAAATTTTGTTCTCCAGAGTTGGTGTTGATTTCATTTGCAAGGATGACTGCTGCTACGTGGTCTGTTCATGACTGCTGAGTCCTAGCCCTTACAGAACTCTGTAGGAGGGGAAGAGATGAATAGTTCTTCTTTTAAAGGCTTTACAAATCCTCTTACAAAAGTTGGAGCATTAATAAAGTTTTCAAATGGGAAGGGGCTGCACAAGTCACTGGAGAGCTAACTCAGCTATTAAGAGCACTTGCTGCTCTCACAGGACCTGAGTTCAGTTTCCTGTACCCACATGGTGTCTCACACTATCTGTAACACCGGTTACAGAAGATCTAATGCCCTCTTCTGGACTCCATGGGCACTACAGAATACACATAAAAGTAGAAATGTCCTTTTTTTTTTTTTTTTTTTAATTAGAACATTATAGAAAAACCTCTGTTTGAGAACATTGTTGCCCTTATCTCTAAATGAAATGTGACTTCTGTACCAGGTGAAAATCAGTTACCAAATAGAAAGCTTAGAGTTTTGAGTCAAATACTAGCAGTGATGCCTTATCAGTAAGATACAAGAGGAAGTAGACACATCCTGACACTGTGGAAAAGATTGTCTCCTCACTGCTGCTACCTCACAGTCTGTCTGTCCACTACTGCTCTGCTCAGTAAGCACTGCATCGCCAAGCATCACCCTGACCTTTGTGTGCAGGCTTCAGAACACATCTTTGGGTTAAGAAAATCGTGAGTTACAGGAGCTGAAGAGTGTGGGGGGAGGAGGGGGGATAAATGTTAAACTCATAAAAAGCACAATAGAATTACAAGTTTTCTGTTGACAGAAGGGAATGGTACTCTCCATGGATTGACCCCCAAAAAATTGATAACTGTGTTGATACTTCCATTGTAATATGAGTAGAAAAGAGAAAGTGAACATAGAAGCATATAGTGATTTCACGATGAATTTAAAATACTGGGTAAAGAGTCATTCAGTACATCCCATATTAGCAAGAGCTGGACATAGTAGTATGTTAATCCACTGGACAACAATAAGAGCACTACTACAAATTTTTAGCCCAATTTGAAGGAAGCTTTATTAAATACTGATCAAGACAATGGACACTGGCCAGGTCCATACCCAGAATTCCCAGAGAATGGCTACAAATTATGTTAGTCAGGTGCTTATAAGGCAAAGCTCACAAAACTACATACTTTCTGCCTTTGTCCAATGGGGGTTGGGGACAAGCATACATCCTATGTGCTCACTGCCTACAGTCTTCCCACCTATGAGTGATAAGCACACCCTGAGCACTGGGGCAACCAACCTTGTTTATAGAAGTGAAGGCACATAGCTTATCATCTTATATGAACAGCCCCCAACATTCCAGAAAGTTAACGTCCCTTGGGCAAGTAGAGTTTATATATTAGAGGCATTTTTGTCTTCTAGCTCTCTTAAGCACTGTAATTAAAACTTAAAACATAACTTTAGCCCTCACAGGTGCACTGCAGTGATTACCAGTACTTGGGAGACTAAGACAGAAGGATGGTATGTTCAGGGCCAGCCTGGGCTACATAGCTTGTCTTGGGGGGGTTGGATTAAGCTATTATCCAAACAGTATATTCAAGACAGGCACACTCCTAATCCCAGCATTCAGTAGGTAGAGACAGGCAGATTTCTGTGAGTTCAAGGCCAGTCTGGTCTACAGAGTGAATTCCAGACCTCCATGGCTACATAGAGAAACCCTGTCTCAAAAAAAAAAAAAAAAAAAGAAGGAAAGGCAAAAAAACAAACAATATATTGAATTCTTCCACTGGAGATATTTAGTGGAATATGTTTGTACTGACACTAATGGATGTCAGCAAAGGTTGAGTTTCATTTCTTACCATTGGGCAAGGTTTTCTTCATTCTCAGCTGTCTTCATGAATGGAAAAAATGCTAGCAATAGTATCCTGTGCTTTAATGCCATCACTCAAAAGGCAGAGAGGCAGATTCTGAGAGTTCCAGGCCAGCCAGGAATACACAGTAAGACTCTGTCTTTTTAAAAACAATAAAAACCTGAAACTTTGGCTAAGGTTAAAGAACATGTTTTATGTCTTCTGATTCTTTATCAAGCCTATAAAATTGAAGAAAGAAATAATAAACACTGGAAATTGAGAGCCTTCTATATGGCAGCAGCATCTTTACTAAGTACTCTGCAGACATTATCCTTAGTGTGCTAGTACACACTTTAAGTCCCAGCTACTGAGAAGACAGGGGATCAGTCAGTTTCAGGCTCAGTGAAAGCATGAATACTAGCTATTCACAGCTGGGCTGGCACAGGTAGTCTTTTTGTTGGTGTTTGAGGCCTATACTTGAAACCCTTCTGAATACTTAACCAAAGGACTGAAAGGGCTGGTTGAGGAAGAATTTCTTGCCTTTGGGCCACAGTACTGATTTGGGGGTTTTGTGTTGTTCTCCCTCCCCCAACCCCATTCCATCTGTGTATTTAGACCTCACTAGTATAGTCATTGCAGTGTTAGGAAAGGTTCTGTGACTTTATAAGAAAGTAGATCTGAAAGGTGCAAGAGGTCATTGGTGTAAAGTGACTCAACCAAGGCAAAGGCTGACGTGATGGAAACCTCAAGCATATGGGATTGAAGAGTAGGGAAGTACAAGGTGAAGACAGGCTGATAGTGAATCTTCATGGCTTTACAGGCCTCGCTGGAGGCATTTGAGTCTTTCCTGAGAACAGAGGGAGTTGTGAGGTTTATGGAACATAGAGAAGGAAGATAGTAGGTTAGATCTCCATGTTAGTTCTCTCTCTGCTCTCATCTGGAGAAGGACTGGAGGCTGGAACTGATCCAGTGAGAGCATTTCAGTCCTAGAGATGAGAGTGCAAACTTGGTCTCAGGACGTAGATAATCCGTTCAAGAATTTAGGAAGCAAACAACATGTTCTACAACAGCTGCAAAGAGATAATTTATGTCTAAATTTCTTTTATGAAAGTATGCCTTTAATTTTTTTGTATATAATATGTAATTTTTAAATAACTACTTGTCAATTGTAATAGTCTTCTTTTAAAAATTTGCAGTTATCTGACCCTTTTTTCTCCTCATAGTGACAAAGAACTTGACTGAAAAAAGGTCAGCCAAGTCATCTGAAATGTCACCCGTGCCTTTGAGATCAGTTGGCCAAACAGCGAAAGTCCACCTGCATCAGCCACACAGAGTGAGCCAGGTGCTTCAGGTGCCTGCAGTTAATCTGCACCCCATCAGAAAGAGAGGACAAGCCAGAGACCATGTGCTAAGTGAGTGCTCAAAGCCCTAAAACTGCTGACAATGTCAGAAGAATATGGTCATTACATCATAACATCAAAAAATGTTTTGTTTTGCTTCAGTGTATTTGATGACAATGTGGAGGGGTGTTTTTTTTTGTTTGTTTGGTTGGTTGGTTGGTTGGTCAATTGGTTGGTTTTGGTTTGTCAAGGCAGAATTTCTCTGTGACAGCCCTGGCTGTACTAAAACTCATTTTGTAGACCAGGCTGGCCTTGAACTCAGAGATTCACCTGCATCTCCCTCCCAAGTGCTAGGATTAAAAGCTTATGTCACCACTCCCCAGTGATGACAGTGTGATTTAAATACTAGTGTTGGGATTTCTATATTTCTGAAATTTGTTAATCAACAGAAATCTTATATAACTGTACATCTTGAATATCTACAGTAAATCTTAGATAACATATCAAGCTAAAATTCATTCTATATTCAAAGATGTATTTCAAATACTACAGATGTAAACTTCCAAAAGCTGTGAAAATCAAATTGCTTTTTATGAAAATACCTATACACTGCTTTTTCATTAATGTCCCCTTCTGAAGACCTCATTAGGAGAAAAGAACATGGAGAGAACAAAAAGAGTATGGGGCTGGAGAGATGGTTCGGTGGTTAAGCACTGGCTGCTCTTCCACACTGGGTTTGATTCTCTGAACCCACATGTCAGCTCACAACCATCTGTGACTCCACTTTCAGAGGATCCGCATCCTCTCCTGGCCTCCGTGGGCACTGCACGAATATGGTATATAGTCAAAACATCTATGCACACAAAACTGTAAAAACAAAAATTTTAATTGAAAATAAATGTAGGAGCTAGAGAGATGGCTCAGTTATAAGGATGTACTGCTTTCATGAGAACCCACTAGATCCCCAGCACCTATATTAGGTGGCTCACAGTTAACTGCCTGTAACTTGAGCTCTAAGTATTCAGATGCCTCTGACCTCCTTGGGCATCTGTACTCTCTTGTGCATGCCTATACCACACATCTAATAAAAAAGTTCTTTTTACATGATAGGGTTAGAGAGATGACACAGTGGTAAGAGCACTTGCTGTTGCAGAAGGACATGGGTTTGGTTCACAGCAATCCACTACTCCAACTCCAGGGGATCCAATGCTTCTTCTGACCTCTGTGGTTACCAAGCACACACATAGTGCACATACATATAGGCAAAACATTCATACAAATAAAATAATAAATTAAGAACTTTTTAAAATTTATTATGTATATAGTATTCTGCCTGCATGTATGCTGCCTATCAGAAGAGGGCACCAGACCTCATTACAGATGGTTGTGAGCCACCATGTGGTTGCTGGGAATTGAACTCAGGACTTCTGGAAGAGCATTCAGTGCTTTTAACCTCTGAGCCAACTCTCCAGACCCAAATATGAAATTTTTTTAAACATAAAATACATTAGTGTAATCTTAAATTCTGTTTCCCCCATTCAGCCATTTAGACGTTATTGGAATTACTTTTATTTGTTGTTTTAACAGTATCTCTAGGTCCACTTTTACATGGGAAGCTAGATTAGATTTAATTCCTGGTACTATTAACATGATCCATGTATTATACATATGTCATGCTTAATAGAATTTTTGGGGGGGTTGTTTCTTTGGTTTGATTTAGTTTAGTTTTTCAAAACAGGGTTTCTCTGTGTAACAACAGCCTTGGCTGTCCTGGAACTCGCTCTGTAGACCAGACTTGCCTTGAACTTGCAGAAATCCTCTTGCCTCTGCCTCCTGAGTGCTGGAATTAAAGGTGTGCACCATCACCACCCAGCAAAGTATGTTATTTTAATTTGATTTGGTCTAACATATGGAGCTGAGTATGAAATGGCCAGAGTTTTAGTCTAGTGTCATTGAAGATACAGACAGATTACTTGTTTATTATATATGTACTAACATGATGCATGTAAAATAAAAAGCAAGAGAAACCTTTAGCAAAGGCAGGGATAATGAAGGCCTTTAGAAGAAGGCTTTTTAGTAAGTGTTTCCTTGAGTGTTGGTGTCTGTCAGGAGCTATAGTTTGGTGTACTGCAAATTGCATGCATATGAAGAGGCAGTAACAACTGAAGGTCAGGGTTGGGGATTTGGCTTGGTATTAGAATGCTTGACTAGTGTGCATAAAGCCATAGGGGCTCAGCCCAGTTTGCAACAACATCACACAAGTAATTGAAGTTCACATTTAACACTTACTGAGTTTCAGACATAATCCATCTTTATTATTAATTTTATATATTTACTTAGTCTTCATAATAGCCCTAGGAGATGGTAATTTAGCCTCATTATACACAGAATTTTTGTAAATTTACACAGTGCCAGTACATAGTCAATCTGGTAGTTGATCTTAGGCTGGTTGGCTCTAAAATCCTTGCTTTTTAACCACCAGACTAAACAACCTCCCAGACATGAGAATTGAAGTCATAAATAAATATGTCTAGATTATAGAAGTGTGAAGCACAGTTTGTCACAAAGAAACCACTGAAGAGATTTGAAGTCTTGCATGGTGTACACCCTTCTAATCGTAGCACTTGGGAGACTGAGGCCTGCATGAGGAGTGCATGTTCTAGGCTACAAGTTTGAGACCAGCCTGACCTATATAGTGATACTCTGTTAAGAGAGTGACAGGACCAGGCAGTGGTGGTGCACACCTTTAATCCCAGCACTCAGGAGGCAGAGGCGGGCAGATCTCTGTGTGTTCTGTAGACCAGGACAGGCTCCAAGCTACAGAGAAAC